CCTTTGGGCGGAGCCTTGCATCTGAGATCTATGGTCACCTAATACTTAACAATATTTTGTGTAACCCTGTAGGTAGGGGCTCAGATATGTTGTCCTGCTCTATCCTGTCTAATAATAAAGCAGGGTCGCTCGGTATCGCTGAGCTGTGGGTACTGGACAATCGGCTGGCATATCTGCAGCCGGGTTGAAGATATATCATCAAGCTATACCCACCATCCGAACATTATAAACGGTCACATTTTTTGCTTAACGCCATGTCGCCAGTCATCTGTGCCAAAGCGGAACCAAGCAGCGGTTGTTGCTGTGGCGGCTCAATTATTCTGCTTAAAAGCGGGAATTTACCTTACGATGTGGACTCCAATACCAGTGTCACACGAAGCACAGGGCGCTTTTCTGAGCCGTTTTCCAGCGTGCTTGAACAAAGACATCATATCTCCAAAAGGATTGGTTAAACTGCCATACTACTCTATCATGCCAAAATACATAAACAAACAAGGCGTTTCAAGAAAGCGAGGTGGGTTTTTTATTGAGCCCCTGGATTTGAGAGAGCCTATGCTCCCCGGATATATCCCTTTATTTCAAAGATGTATCGAATTTCGTCTGATGGAGCCAGGGCGTCGAAGATGTGCGACTCACCTGGCGCTGTGGATTACTTTTTGAAGCTTAAGCAATTTACCCCTGTTCCCCAAGGCACAACAAGCACAGCAAAGCAAGCCCTTTTACATGGATTTTTGGAGCACTGCAAGGAGCTAATACCTTATGCAATCAGCGTTATCAGCGTAACGCAGTGGCTTCTGGAAATCAAGTTACTTTGGAGAAAATAACCCTAACAGCGCCCTACATAGGATATCCTGAGATTCAATCTGCAATGACAGATAACTAGTTGCCAGGGGGCAAATACCATCACCTCTCAACTTCTGCTTTTATCAGTCCAGGGATCATATCCACTGGATCTAGTACCATAAATGGAGTCCAACACAGCTGTGATACAGGCATCTGCCTCGGTAACCACACGCTTATTGCAGGGTAATGATAGAGCATTTCTATCTGGTCGCGCTTCGGCCACAGCCAGCATCTCAGCGAAAGGGGCTGTACCTATGTCTTTAACGGATCTAGCGATACCATACCACTCTTTTCTCAGTACCCCCGGATCAAAGAGTGAAATAAACCGGGACTCCTTGTGTCTACCATGCTTTTATAAATAGTTACTTTTGCCGCAGCCAGCCAACGGGATACACCTCAGGCTGTTACATCCACGACTCATTCGATTATTTTTAAACAGCTTTTCCAAGCAGTTCTTGCAGAATACGATGGGAGGGTTCTACTCACCATCTAGTCTTACCTTAAGGCGCCTTACCTCCTTTGCCCTGTGGCTAACTGTACTATACCTCTGCCATGCAGCGTCAGCACTCAAGATACGGCCTCGTCCTGGGTCCAATTCAACACGCCTAGCTCATCCAATATCAAGAATTACAAACCTGTACCAGTGTCGAGGAAACGAAGATAAAGTCCACCATGCTCTCCTTGGAATCACACTCGGGGTACGCCAAGCAAGCAATCTTTTATGTTGATGTCAACAGTTCAATGCATAGCGGCAAGGGATTAACCTGTACGAATAGCTCAGCCATGCCCGTTTGCGATTGCTAAGGCTAAAGAGAGTCTTAGAAAGAAACCCAGTCAGCGAAACCAGCCTGAGCGGCATAGATCGCTCAACATTATACACCTTTGAGAGTCTCTATGGGACCTCTTATCTTCCAAATACTCCGGGAGGTTACATTGGCAGAACTCGGATAGAATATGTCATAGGTTTGGCAGCGTGAACCCCTTGCTCCCGCTAAATCAGTGATTTTCTGAGCTGAGCAAATCAAACAAAAACTTCTACTTTCTAGATATGATGGACCGACTGATTGAAAACATCCCCGGCATGGGTTTTGATATATGGTGTGACGACAGCTTTCTGTCCCAGACAGGGCCCCCCGATGCACCACTACCGCCACAGCCTCATGAAAGTAGGTCCAGATACGCCAATATCTGACAATATATACAATACTGAGATTTTGCCTTTCTTTTTATAGATCCGCATGGGGATTTGATCTACTGGGACAACCGGCCATTAGAAGTCAATGGCCAAGCATGGGTCTTGATGCCAGTTCCTAAGTGTGATGAAGACTTGCAAGCCTTCCACATGGACGGAGGGTCCCGCGAAATTATCGTCTTATGTCCCAAGATGTTTGAACACTACTCTGACTTGGGAGACTATCAAATCGATATGACATCCCGCCCCCCAACGTTCTCCAAAGGCATACACATTGACAGTTTTGCTACTTCGTTGATGTTTGTCCTGGTCCATGAAGTATCGCACTGTGACTTCTTCCTTCAGAATCTTGTCACCAGTACGATAATACCCCGAACCCCGGTCAGCCGGGCCATTTCCTTTCAACCCTCTAACAGGTATCTTTAGGTGATATCCCAGCAGATGTCGACGGTTATGGCTGGCAGGAGGCAGTCCGCCATGCCGACAACAACCATCTGTATGCATTGAAAAATGCTGGTACGTCGGGGTGTCTAACTATTTCAATGATGCAGCATGCTGACCCATCTCGTCTAGACAATTTTGCTCTTTTTGTCCTTGGTAGCTATGACCCTTCTGATCGCCACTCTTTCTATCGTTTGATAGTTACTGACAATCCCAAGCCATGTTTCTGTCCAAAAACGACTGGAGCACCGGGCTGAGCGATGATATGTTTGCAGATGCTCCCGCCCGTGAATTTCCTCCGTAAGGGACTTTGGGAGGCTCCTTGGCTAGGTAGTTAATTAACAGCATGGAAGCGAGTGGGAAAGCCGTGTCACAACCACTGTTAAGCAGTATAATGATACAAGCATAGATAGAGATGCCGCCGTCTTCAACATTTTGTTCCTCTTGTTAGTTATCGCCATAGTTAACGATGTAACTGACTACGTAGGCCTAACTACTGCTGTATCATGGGGCCACCCAAAGCCCAAATCCATCACATGCATTATTGATGCCTCGATCAGCATCAACAGCTTGAGGCTTCCGCGATCACACACCAGACGATGAGTGCTGGCTGGAGGCTTACTCCTTTGCTTTCTCAGCGCTACCAATACAAAAACAGAAAATTCCCGGCGTCGCAACTTGTTTTGCAGCCAGGACATTGATTTTTGCGTTTTAGTACCATCACTGAGCCAACACCATCGGCAACAGAAGCATTATATCACCCAGAGTCGGATGTCGAGGACTTGGAAGGGTATAGGCCCGGCGGTTACCATCCAACCGTCATTGGCGACAGCTTCTGCGATGGGCGCTACGTTGTAGTCCACAAGCTTGGTTCTGGCGGCTATTCCACAATCTGGCTTGCCCGAGACCAGCAGCTTCAACGCTATGTGTCACTGAAGATACTGGTTGCAGGAGCTTCACAGGAGACACATGAGAGTAACATTCTCCAGCTGCTCTCAAAGGGCAACCTGAATGGTACGGGAATGCTTTGGGAGCCTCGGCTCTAGTTAAGTTAACTATTAGTTAGCTTGGCCCAGCGACTCCTGTCAACCCGGAATAAATAACTATCCAATTGCTCTGCATACGGCATCATACCAACAACTCCATACCCTCCAACTGCAACTGCTACAACTGCACCAGTTTATATCACATCGAGTGCTGTGGCTTCAGAATGAGCACAGCAGTCGGCGAAGACATGTCTGCCCCCACTCGCGCCTCCGTGCTGATCGCAAATCTATCCGCGGTCTCAAAACGCATTGCAGCAGCATCAAACAGCCGAAACAACCACAATGAAACCAGCCCCAGCCCCAGCGCCGGCCCTGTTGCTGCGACCTCGACCAGCGACAGTAATAATAATAATAGCTCTGCAGCTCCTCCCGTGCGCCTCGTCGCAGTATCCAAACTAAAGCCGGTCTCTGATATCCTTGCGCTTCACTCCCCACCTACATCCCACCTGCACTTCGGAGAAAATTATATGCAGGAACTCCTTGAGAAGTCCAAGGCCCTGCCCCCCGAAATCAGATGGCACTTTATCGGCGGACTGCAGTCGAACAAATGCGTTACACTTGCACGCGAGGTACGGGGACTCTGGGCCGTTGAGAGCGTGGATACAGAGAAAAAGGCGTCTTTGCTGGATAAAGGCTGGGGCGAACGAGCGGAATTCAAGCAGAAAGAAAACGACGCCAATCAACCTCTGGATAGACGGCTACGTGTGTTTGTGCAGGTTAATACGTCGGGAGAAGAGAATAAATCAGGCATACAGCCAGGCGAGCCTACGCTGGAACTGTGTCGGTTTATCAGAGAAAATTGTCCTCGGCTGAAGCTCCAGGGTTTAATGACTATTGGGGCCATCGCGCGATCCAAGGCTACTACGCCGGAAAACGAGAATGAAGACTTTGCTTGTCTACGAGATACAAGAGATATGGTGGTGGAGAAGTTATCGTTGAAGGGAGAGGAAACATTGGAATTGAGCATGGGCATGAGTAATGATTTTGAGGGCGCGATTGCAATGGGCAGCAACCAGGTCAGAGTTGGGAGTACGATCTTTGGGGCTCGTCCACCCAAGGGCGAGGCGAAGTCGTAATTTAAAAGAGAGCCATCATTACCATAGGGCCCGCCCACCTTTATAGTTATTATTATAAGAATATAGATTGAAAAACACTGGCCGCACAGGCTCAGAATTTGATGCCTTTATTTTCAGGGGAATATATAGGTAAATAGACATAGAGTGCTCGGTACCATGGTTAACTGAGAACTCTGGCATCCATGAATCCCGTATGGCTGCTAGTCGCCAAAGATATCGCCAACAGTTCCTCTAGAGATTCTGTCCTCCATCAATTCAACCAAGGCTCGCGGTACGCCCTCTTGGGTCGCCCGAATGGTGATGCGGTACATCTGGATATGTGTTAGTGAACCAGGTCAAAGACAAGAGTAATGATAAATAAAAGAAATGCAAACACAGCTTACCTGTTTCTCATAGTTGGGCTCAAGCCTGAGTAAACACCCAGTCTTCGAGCTTTGGGTTTGGTAAACAGCACATCCAACAAGGTTCTTCTGGTTCGGGTCAACATTTGCAAGAATCTTCCATTTGAAACTCTCGACAATTGACTGGAGATCTCTTTCGCTTAGAGGACGGCCTTTCTTTACAAGGCCAAACGTCGATTGGCTCTCCAAGGGTCCACCGCCTATTTGCCGCCAACGCTTAAAGAAATCGTCCGACGTCAGGGACGAAGCCTCAATGTATCTATGCATGAGGATAGGTAGCTGCAGGGTATACGCTTGCAGTGCACCAGCAAGGTATGATATCCGAATCGTGGGCGCCTTGGTAAACGGGCCGAGACACTCGAAGCAAACTGTTTGGTGTGTTTGACCAGATGCAACAACATCTGGGTCGGGTATATCCTTCGTATCAATCTTCAGACTCTCAGGTGAAGGGTTATCCAGCGTTATGGTAAACGACCCGATTGAATACGCGGATTTATTTGCAAAGTAAAGCTTGCAGACTCCGAGGTGAGCTCGGTACTCGGAACGAAGACCAACCTGGATTTGGGCATCCTCAAACAAGACTCCCTCAGTCGCGAAGAAGAGTCGGTTAAACCCAGGCTCCCAGTCCGGAGATAAATGGGCGGCACTGGCCAAGTTCGGTGCCGTTTCGCCGGATGAAGCAAAGTCCAAACCTTCCAGATCGCTGGATGTTGTGCCTTTCGCCCCTGTCTGCTGTGCAGCAACCGGTCCGTTGGCAGCCGATGTGAAGGTGCGTTTCAGACCCGTATTCTGTGTCAACATAAACTCCTTATCATCTGCGTTGGCATCTTTGCCTCCAACAACCCAGGTCCGCTTATCACTCGTTCCAGAGCTCTTTTGATGTAGTCGGGACAATAGGACTGAAATTCTCTCAGAGAAAGGTGGCATCTCGTCGCAGACGGTCCGCAAGAGGTCATCAGTAGGTAGCGTAGCAAGCATTAGGTATTCGTAAGCCCGTTGTTGCATCTCTGAATCGGGCGAGTGGCTGTATACTTGGAAGACTCGAAGTATTTGCGGTTTGATCTCTGGGAAGAGATTTACAAACTTGATAAAGGATGATAGGAGCAAGGCCCGAGTGTTGTCAGAACAGAACGCCATCTTCGAATATAGTGCCAGAAACTGCTCGATGGGTGAGCATCCTTTGTTATCTGCAATGAGATGACCAAATTCGCCCAGGATATAACCACCGATCTTCACCAGACTGTCATGACACTCTCCCTTGATATAACCCAAAATGTGTTGTGCGGCATAAGCTTGGAGCTCTTCGTTATTCGTAACTACCTGAACAACTCGCTGCCAAACTTCATCACTGACATGGTCGCCGGCCACAGATAACAGCTTGAGCGAGATATCAATATACCATTGAGCGTCCGTAGCATACTTTTCTGTTAGAATAGCAATCTTGAGTACCATTTCCTCCCGAATGGCGAAGTCAGCGCTTTGAAGGTGCTTGAGAAGCTCGTTAACGATGGGTCGGGCGTTTGACGTATCACACATGCTGTAAAGGAGATCCAACCCCTTTCTTCGGACACTGATATCCCTATCTCGCAAAGATCCAAGAATGATGTTTTGATGCTTCTGTATGGGGTCCAGGGTCTCTGCCCTGGCTGCGAAATGAGTCATTGCATCCAATCCAAGGTATCTCACGTTTGTTTCCCGGGATTGAATAAATTTCCCAAGACGGGAGGAAATCTGCATCATGAGGGTGTGTTCACTGTCGAGGTGGATTAAGAGATTGATGGCTTCAAAGAGTACCGCGTTCTGCGCATTGTTTTGTTGAACATTTTTTGGCATATCCATGGCGGAGTTCATGATTTGTTGAATACTCTGCCTTATTAGATCTCTCACATGGACATCCTCTACCAGATTAGGAATGATGATGGTTAGCTACCAACTTGTTTAAATTCCACGGTTTTGGGATCAACTAACCCGAGGGAGGATAATACTGCAACAATCGAAGCAGTTTAACTTGCATCCAAGGACACCCAACATTGTAGTAGATGTAGTCAGGCGCAATATCATGGTCAATAACAATCCTCTTCAGTCGCTGGGCTGCCTTGACATAGCTTCCCTTATATTGATCAGGGTTATCCTGAACAAGCGCCATGACTAGAGAGGTGACAGAGAGGGCTACGCCCATGTCTGGGTCGTCCATTAATGATACGATGCGCTCAGCCCACTCCTGCTGGACAATTCCTGGGTATTTACGGTATAGCCGGAGAAGGGTGAGGGCAGCCTTCTTCTTGACAAAGGCTTTGGATGCACTGCATTTATGTTACGTTAGTAAATTTAGGTTAGGCGGATATATAACCAGGGATATCACAACATACGGGGATATTAATAAACGATGCACATCTGCACTTAAGGCTTCACCCATTTCCCTTCCACCGACATTGGCAACCGCGTGTAGAGCAAGACAGTTGTTTAACTCATGGTGATCCAGCAGGTCCTTCCGGATACTGTTCACTACCAAGTGGAGTAATTCATGCTGTTCGTGAAGAAAAAGCGTGACGGCCAGGTACCCTATTTGCTTCTCAGAATATTTCGTAGCAGATATCAGGTTGACAGCCTCCAAATGACCAAAATCGACATCATAGCCTTGAATATAGACGTATAGAAGTTTGCAAACATATTTCTTCTTCTGATAGCCGTTCAGGCTTCCATCCTTAAATTTCTGTCGGATATTGGCCAGCTCCTTATTGATACGTTTCTCCTCCAGTTCCCTAGCTCGAGCATTCCGCAGATCAGCTATGAACTGAACCAGCCCGCGCATAGAAGACATAGCGACTCAGTTCGGCGCGAGATCCCGAATATCTGCTTCCGTGGTCTCCTCTTCCTTTTTGGCCTCTCTATCCTTCGGTTTGGTGCCAGCTTGGAGGTGTCAAGTTACGGTTCATGTGCATTCCACTGGTGCATTCTTCTTCCTAATCATTGCCAGGCACACGATGCCAGCATTTTTGATGACGGTATAGGTATCGCAAAGGGCGGATCTGGTCAGATATTGATCGCAATCCGGTGCCTATAGGCCGTGCAACACTCGCTGAAACGAGGGACGGAGGTCAACACTTCGGGGGAACAGGACAGACAAGGCACGCGTCTCCTAGCTTTCCTATCCATATACACAGCTCTATAAGCTCCTCGGGCTTCGCCGCATGTGTCCGCGGGGCGACAGAGTGTAGAACAAGAGGCAGGATGTTTCCTTGCTTGCTTGCTTGCTATCTTGCTGTCTGTTCCCCTGGCGCCCGTCCAAATCGGGCGACAGCGAGCTCGATGCGGAAAAACATTTTGCCGGATTATCAAACCGCCGGCCGGCTGGACCCCCTGCGTCCGTGCGCCCTTTACCTGACCTCGATCTCGTTTTTGCGAGTAAAAAAGGACAACAACCCGAAGGCCACGATCAAAGGGCGAAAGGCAGGCACAGAGCCTGGTTTCTCATGTATTATTACTACCAGCACTTAGTTCCTGGAAGTATACGGAGTACCTACCCCTAACCTGGAATTCTACGCAGAGACAAAATAAAACACAGAGGAAACGCAGTCTGATGGACGTTGACTCCTTGATATGCTGAGTAGCTAACCTAACGACGAGAAGGTGATATACCTTGCAAAAAACCAGAAACCAGAAAATAAACAGCAGACCTGGCCCAAATTGACGAAACAAATGAAAATGCCGCCCACAGCGTCGCAAACAAGCCTACCCCCGAGTCCCCCTGAGCACCGCATTTAACCTTCTTTACACCTTGTAGGTGAAATCGATCTCTCCGGGGAAGTTTCCAGAGTCAACGGCCCTCTCGCACGTACATGAGTCTAAGGAAATCTCAAAAATTAGCCTGTCTGCCATGCTCGCACGCAGAAAGAGGTGGAGATAGGTAAATCGAGCCATGCCGGGTCGAGGATGGAAGATGAAACGTACCAGCCCCCCTCTTTCCACAAGGGCATGCATCACCGGAAATAGGATGGTTTTCGGACATGGCCCTCTCACACGTACATTGCCCAGCCGGGCGGCTTCCTATTAGTCGTGCCACGAGTGCCCTTGTTAGATTTATCTTCCAGCAAGCGAGAAAACGACCCCCTCGACACGCAGTCGCGGCACGGAGGGACAGGGACAAGGGGGGAAGATAAAGATATAAATTCAATGGCAAAAGACCGGAAATCAAGCAAGAAAAGAAGGAAAAGGCCAGAACATTAACCTACTGCAGGAACAACGTGGGCCAGACATGTCGTTTTCGGTTTCTGCCTTGGTGCAGTTGCAGTGAAGAGCCTGTTCCTTGCCACAAGAGCACCTTGCTTGAGCGGCACAAACACAACCCTCCTTGGATGCGTGACAGCAGGACTGTGGTGGAGCAGCCATTTTCGCGTGTTTTTATTCTGTTTTGATTCTGAATCTGCTTGACCGGGTATTTTCCCGTTATCTTCTTTGGGAAGGCGGATAATAGGTATCAGTATCAGATGGACGGCTGATTTCCAACCAAGAAAAACATCAGAGGATAAATGAAAGAAAGGAAGATGGGCAGTTTCTTCTGCCTATTGCTCGAGGGATAAGGTCTTTTTTATATGCCCTCCCTTACTTCGACCTCCTTCCTTTCCTCCAGCGCGCAATTACCAACATCTCGACTGCGATTGGATAAACAACTATATGATTATTAAGCAAATGTCATGTGATCTTGGTTTCGTCATAGTAAGGGTAGGTTTGACAGAGGTAAACGGGAGAATGCGAATACCGGATGGATTGGGATTTAGAGGGAAATGAGGTGGCTAAATCCTCGGGGCTAATATAGTAAGTACGTACAGGAGCCAGAGTGCGATGTGGTCATTAAGGAGGTAATAGTTGGGCTTGGATGCAACACTATTACCAACCCACTTGTGGAATGAGCATCATCTCAGACAAAGGTGGCCTGAGATATAGAGGAAAATAAAACATAGGAAACAAGTAGCGCAATAAAAGCCATCAAAATCAACCGCTTATTCAAATGAAAGGGGGACGGAATAGAGAATAAGGAGGAAGGTATATCGAACGGTAGAAATTGGAAACCGGGTGAAAGGAATAAAAAACATGCCGATGCGGAAAGTAAAGCTAGAGAGATGCTTTCAATGAAAACGCCATAAACCCCATAGATAAAACGAACCATTATGTTTAGCCTTGAAAGACAAGCAAAAGGCATCCTGAAAAGTATGTGCTAGAAAGGTAGGCAAGGCCAGCAGAATATGGCAGGTAAAAAGGGGGCCATATGTTGTGAAAGTAATAGACATGAATAGTAATAGGAGTAAATAGTAAGTAATAGTAGTAGTGAATGATTTTCCAGTAAGGGAATCTCTCATTACCGTGAAATGAATCTAAGTCAACGTGTCGCGTTGACAAGATATCATATCGTTTCTGTATTAGATTGATAGAAGTAGCCTCGCTGCCTTGGGGCGGAGTAATCCGGTTCTGGGTAGCAGCTTAGTTTTTGCTGTATGGTTTGTTGCAGCCAGGCTGTGCCATGATTGTTATAAGCACCTTGCATATCGGAACTTTTGCTTGACGGATGAGATGTTGGATGGTTCGGGCTGGTAGATGGGCTTTGTCGAGGGTAGGTAATCCCAAATGAACTTAGGTTGAACTGCGGACCGAGCCCCGAGAGCTGATCCTCTTCCTGTGTGGATTGAAGGGGCGCAGACTGCAAGGCTACGGCGGCTGCACGACTATGGTCTGCCTTCGGCGGCGATCCTTCACCTATCCTTGGCGTAGCGGTCACAGGCTGTCCTACCGTCTTCTGCTTGAACTCTTCTGCCACAGAACCTATTGGCTGGTTAGCAAATGTTGGGGAGGGGTTGTTTATGTTGACACTCTCATGGTTTCTTACCTAGACCAAACGGATCTCTCCGAGTAGATGCATCCAGAGATCGACTGCCATATGCATTATTTATGTTTGTGGAGGAGTCTGTGTCTGTGTACTCCAAAGGCGGAGTATGGCAAGGGATAGTACCGCGCATAGGGAGATTCAGTGATCCTGCCCTCGCTCTGAGGGAGGTATTGTACATGTGAAGCTGTGGGACAGAGGGGCGCATGGCCCCCTGCTGTTCTCCAAAGCTTCTGGGTACAAAGTTCATACGGCCATGAATGGAGGGATTTGCAGAAGGCATAGAACCAAAGCTGCCTATGCTGTCACTAGATGTCGACATACTAGATATCGAGTCAGAGCCGCGACTGTAGGCAGAGCTATCCCGACCGAAATAGCTACCATAGGCTGACGTAGAGCTCAAAGGAGAAGTAGTGTAATCATCTGCTGCTGCCGTTCCCGCCCGCGCTGAGCCATATGGATCATTTTCTTCTGGCGGGAAGAAGGTGCCTGGGGAGACTAGAGGTGTGGTATAACCATGGTGTTCCGTCGCATAGGACGATTGTAGAGACTGGGCCATATCAAAATCATCAGGAAGTGCCCGAGATTTCAAGACCCGCTCCCGATCGTCTAGAGATAGACGCTTGAGCTTTGCCCGCCTTTTCAACATTTATTATTAGCGTTATAGTATTAAGATCATGGAATGAAAAGGGAGTATACCTATTCTGAAACCAGACCTGGACTTGCCGTGGGCTCAGTCCAGAAATTTCTCTAGATAACCTCTCACGATGAGCAGCGTCTGGATGCGCTTGACGAGTAAATTCACTCATAAGATACCGAGTTTGGTTATGGGTAAGCCTGTAAGGGTGGGTTAGCATAATTCGACAATATCTCAAACGTACAGGGGATCCTCAGTACCTAAACCGCTTCATCTTTTTCCTGTCAATCTTCTCCCCTCCGGTAGGTTTGGGTTCGTCATCTGCGTCATGAATTTCCACGTCCTCTGTAGCAGGGCTGTATATTTCCTGCTTGCTATCGATATGCCCGCTATCGCTTTGCTGCTCCCCGTCACCGGGAGTCTGGGGACTTCCGGGGCAAGAGCTCGCTGAACTCGACTGTAGAGCATCCGTTAGGTCACTGCAGGAGAGGTCCCCCTGGCTCCCCTTGTGGGAACCCATATAGCAACTATCACTAGGATCCTGTGAGCTGTGTCCTTGTTCAGCTGCCTTCAAATAGGCCAGACCTCGAATATCACATTGGCCCGGGGTTGCATCTGGCTCTTGCTTGAGCGAGTCGGTAATTGGCGATTCACAGAATTGCATAATCATCGTAGATGGATGGTAATTGTGCAACTGTGATGATGGCAACTGGTCTCCTATCCGCGTATTGGTCCAGCCAGAAACATCTGTATAGACTTCATGGGTCGACATGCTGTATTAAGGAGGAAGCAGAAACAGGGTAGAAAACTAGAAGAGACGGGGAAAGGGTTCAACGTGGGAGGGACTATAGTAGCAGATATATATCGTCAACTCGTGGTAGGTATCCGATGTTGCCGGAGGGCCACCTATGTTTCAGCCATAGATATGCCAATTGCCTGTCTGTTGTCTAGCTCTCTGGAGATATGCTCCACTGGATCACTGCGGTTCAAAACAATAAGATGGAGAGCTTGTCCCCACAACGTCGATGTCAAAGGAAACTGACAGGTGTTGTCTGTAGTCAGGAAAAATCGATTCTCTTTTTGTGTAGTGATTGTGAGAAGCTGAGACGATCAGCAGGGAAGACTCAAGGCTCAAAAGGGACCCGATTCTCTGGGATCGAGGGCAACTTGTAATAATAGAGTTCGACTGGCCTACGACAAAAGAGGGAGGTAGTTGGGTTACAGGGTAGTTGGAGGCACGCCGGTGGGAAAGTTAGAACGCTGCCGTATTTATCGACAGCGGCGGATAATTGACCGATACAGGCAGACATCGAACAAGGCGGCCAAGGGGGGGAAATCCGCCGTGAGGAGCACAAACGAAAAGGAAGAGAGTTCCAAGGTTGGCGTAGCCACGGGAAAATGACGACTTTGCATTCATTTCTTTTTCTTTCCCATTCCTTTTTTTTTCCTTGAAAAGAAAAAATACGGGATATCCGAGTACCTTAACACCAGATACAAAAAACACAGGAGCCGGGGTGCAACGGTCTCCTAGGAGTTTTGGGCTTGAATGATGAGAGGAGGGGGCCAGGATAAGCATAGACAGCCACCCTGTCATGCTCAGACCAGCATCTCGGAGTAGTGCCTAGCTTAGCTTAGCACATGGGGGAAGTATGCGATGCATGGGTTGTGGGTCATTCAAGGATGGGGATACCAGAGTCTCACGTTGATGCGAAGATCACAACACTCTTTAAATTATTTTAAGAGGGATGCTGCACTTGATCGGATCCAACTCCTTATCGTTATGTACGTGATCACTGGGGGTCGCGTGCACCGACCACCACATAAGATCGTTTCTCAACATAAACTAGTCTGTTTTATCTTGTATTTCCTTTTCTTTGCTGATAATATCAGATTTCCAGAAACCGAAAACGAGAGCGAGGGGCGCCCTTATCATATTGGCTGTAACACAGCAAGAGAAAGCATTTTTTTATGCTTTACAAGTAAACAAGGGAGAATTGGCTGTATGTGCCAACCTCGTCTCCCCGGAAAATAGACGAAGGGCCAAAAGCCCCCCAAAAGAAAAGTGGAAGATTTACCTGTAAGATGCATGTATTATTCTGGGTCTTGAGTCTGAAGCCTTGGAGATCCCTGGGAGGCCGGGGTAAGACCGCTTAGGAGACCCTGCAAATCTTAAGCCTCTCCTGTGGGCCAATACTGGCTGGCAGAAGGAAGAGAAGGTCGAGAAAAGATAGGCGTTCGATAAAGCATCCAGAGTCATGCTCCCTCTTCCACATTTTTATCTTTCCCAGCTCTATCCGGGCGTGGCTTATGGGGTGACAGGGGCGCAAGTGTAGCTGGAACCAATGCGGGGCATGCAGAACAGCCCGTAGGGTAGCATCATAGACGGGCGGTTGTTGGACAGAAGTCCTGAAGAGAGATTGGCCACAACAGCACGAGAACGAATGCTGGCACACAGTTCGACGCAAAGCCCATGGCGTCGAGTGGGAGCCGCCAGTTGGAGATCAGGTAAGGCTACCACAAACCAAAAATCCCACCCCCCTGGATTTCTGGAAGAGGAATAGAGGCTATGCCCGCGGGAATTGCAAAACCGACTAGTCACGAATCAAAAGAGACGCAGAAAGGGCACGGTCAGATCGGACCGGCCCCCGAGGTTGGCTTAGGCTCTTCAGTGAAAGACGTCCTTTCTAATATAACCTTTCGAACGTCGTGAGGGATCTATCTTGCAGGAGTGCACCGTAATGACTGCCCAAGTTCCTTGAAAAGCTGGAAGTAGGCCCTTCCCTCTTGGGTGAGCGGGAAACAAATCAGGCGGGATGTGAAGACGGGTCGTGTCATAGGCCGGCTAGGTAGCCATCAAGCACCGCCCACTCAAGCTTTCTTCCTATCGAGGCTTCCCGCCATCAATCGACCCAAGGCAAGCCAGATGATCCGCAGATGTAACAGGCAGTGTATGTAAGTAGGCAGCTGGCCGGTAAGGTATGGAGGCAAGCAGGCTGGCAGGAGTGTGGTGTATGGTGGGTCACTCAATTACCGTATCTCATGCAGGTATGTAAGAAGTACGTACAACGTAAAGGTCCCATCATGCAAAAAAAAATAAAAGAAAAAAGAAGTCTCGAAAGGAAAACATCCATGAAGATGACAGGGAAAGAGTCGAGCCAAGGGCGCAACAGCCCGGGTAATTGGCTGATCTAAAGCGAAGGCAAAACTTTTGCACACTGGAAGGCCAGCCTAGCAGCTGGAGGATGGAGAGACAGGGATGGACGACATTAACCCGGCCCGGAGCCAGATGCGACTCTTGCAGGTCTGTCTGTCCGTCCGCATATGCATGCAGGTGTGACTTATCTGTATGGATGGATGACTGTTTTTTCAGCCGTTTCCAGGCCCAGGGGATCCGGAGGCGCGGGAGGGACAAGAAAAGAACGAAGCAACAGCAGCTGGTTTCCACCAACCGCGGAGGCCTTCGTTGGACATCTCAACCTCGCATCGAAGCGAAATGTGCAGGCTGCAAGAGAGGTGAAGGACTGCTAAGGGCTGGGAACCGGGATATTGAAACCGTCCACGTGACTTACCAAGTGGTGTTATTGTTATTTTTTTTCTTTTTCCTTCTTCGTCTCTTCATCTTCCTTGCAATCGACGTCTGCTCGTCTTCTCGGCGGCCCCAGAAGCCAGATATCCCGCCGAATCTTGTCGGAGATGGCTGGAGATGGAGATTGGATGGATAATTATAGCCCACCCGGCGACGTCAGCGATCGGAGGACAGGCTAGGCGTATAAGGTTGCCGCAGATCGGGGCTTCTGTGATGCTTCCATGAGCCAGCCGATGGACCGGTCAGAGAAATGGCTTCTTTAGTGCCCGCTGCAGACTTTGTGTGGCAGCTAAAAAGACAAAACTCTGCTGAAAAACCGCGATTCGGAGTTCCACTGTCTGGTAGTGATTTTAATATTAGAGGCTCTGATGTGGGAACGAAGTCACGAAACCGTTGAGACAGTTACATGCATGCAGCCAGGATAGCCATGGGAGCTGTCAGAAGCAAAAATCAGACAGCAAACAGAGAGTGATTGACTGGCTCGACGGCAAACGGCAAACGGCAAACACGCAAGCCAGGAGCCTTTGCGATGCGCACTGGCTCTGTTTCCCCCCTTCGTCGCCACTCCGAATCATGTATGGAGCATCGAGGGAGAAGGATTGGACAACCTGAATATTGTCAGAAGTGCAAGCAGGACTGCTGCGTACCTGCAGATAGCAGAGCCAACGCAGCTTCAAGGATCCAAGCTACGGACATCTCTCCTGTCCGACGGAGTTCTCCGTTACGCGCTTGACATGTTTTTTTCTGACTTGATCAACCTTTTTTTGCGTCGATCTAGCCATGGATACCTTGCATGGCTGTTTGCTGGTGGTGCTTGCTTGAAACTTGTCCGTTTTGCGGGATCTTTGTAAATAGCCGGCTGTTCTGTTGTTCGGGGGAATCCATTGCTGTCTCACGCTAATATACACAATGATGGCAAGCTCCGGCCGGGGTTGGTGATAGTCTCTTGTCCCTTGAAGAAAAACAGAGAAAGAAATCGTCTCCTATCTCCTCCCTCATTTTTTTTTTCTTACCCTCCTTGCTCCTTGCCCATTAAACCAATTTCGAAATCGTTTCAGCCCTGCCGCAACGAAATATTCCGTCAACCTCGCCTTATTCCTTATTAAGCAGGTGCCAATGCTTTCCTCTTCAAAAAAACACGTTGTATAACTTCTTTTCATATCTTCCGGGGAATAAGAGCTATGCTGGGCATCGCTTGAAACTAAGTATGTAGATATCGGTCCGGAACCCAGGGCCGGGGATTTGATCCTGGCTGCTGCTGCCGCGTCTGCGTCAACTGTGCCACTGGTCACATCTGCTCACATATAGCTATCGTCACCACGTAGCATGCATGTCCTTTAGATTCTGCATATCACTGCATGACAACATCGGTCCTGCAATCTAGTCGAAACCAATATAACCCGAATGCACGTAGGAATTGAGCACAGAATGGTTCGTTCCTGCACAGTTATAGATCTGGGTTACAACCACGTGGAGGCTCGCGAACCAATATTGCTTCATGACTCGTTTTTTGAAGCCGGGTTGAAGCCACCCGAAATTTGTTGAACGATCTGCAGATATGAGCCGATTTAGGTAAAGGGTACAAGGTCAAGTTTGAGTGGGTTGGGGTTCTGGGGCAGTAGTGTCAACGTTGCTTCCTTTGGTTTCATCTTCTTTGGAAATGTCAGCAGTGTTCTCAGTCTCTGGCTGTTGTTTTCCTGACGTGGAAGTTGGTGCTGGCGTGGCCTCAAAAAGCACCTTCAGATTTTTCCCGTCCTCTATTTTATCCAGTTGACTGAGTTTACTCCTCGAAGCAATTCTCAATGTCCTCCAAGTTTTGCTTGCCTTGGCTTTGATGGATTGTTCTTTTTCTTCATCGTCTTTTGCCATGTCGATGTTAAAGTCATCGTCTGCTATACCACTCATATAGAAGTCAAGGCTAGGAGTTGAAAATCTACCACAAAAAGGTCAGCAAAATCACTATCTCCCACGCTGTACCATTGCTACCATACCTTCCAGGCTCTTTCAGGCGATTAAGATCCCCAAGATTTGATTCTACAGAAAGGAAGCCAAGGTCCAGCGAACCCATAGGAGTTGAGCGAAGCCGCCTGTTGGCTGTGATTTTGGCAGCACTTGACTGAGTATCCAAATGACTCTGTACAGGTACAGGTGGCCGTTCGATTGGTGGGCATCCTTCTGCCTTCCATCGGACCCAGTTTTTATCTCTCGTTAGGACAGTGTCTACCATCCGGAAATAGAACTTTCCATCTGCGCCCTTTTGCAGGTAGCTCGCAATAGAAGATCTCATTTGGGTTGCCCACTTCGCCTAAGGTGACGGACTTAGCCATTGTCGGAGTTTGTTTGCTAAACCAGGATCTGTTTGCACTCACATCTTCATCGCTTAAAACATAACCGTAAAGAACGGACTTGTTGGTAGAATCAGCCAACTTGGCTTTGGACTTTGGCGTTAGCGAAAGCAAAAAATCAAGGAGAATCAAGGCCTGGACTAGAATATGTCTGCGGAAAGACACATCATTGATCTAGACCACAGTTAGCAAAGATATATCAACCCAAATACTGTTCGTCATACCTCGAGTTCAAATAAATCCCTACTAGTCAAATACTTGGGGTTGAAGCTATTGGGCAAATCGGCTCCTCCTTCACCTCGCTTGCGTTTTGTGCCTCGTCGTAATTCGTCTGAGCCCTTTGTTGTGCTACGAACCTCTAACTTTGAGCTTACTTTTCGGAAACTTGAGAGAGTTGCTTCCAGTCCAGATTTCAGGGATGCGAAGTGTGCGGTATCGAACAGTCTAGTGGGCTTAGAGAAACTCTCTTGAAGGCTCCAAAATGCAGCATAAAGGGTATCGAGCTCAAGTTCCGGCTGAATACTGGGGGCATTTCCGCGTTGGGGTGTAGCGTCATTGGTCGATTCCAAAGGTGTCTGAGCCGTTGTAAGCTCTTGCTCGGTACTCTTTGCATTGGAAACCAAAGTCTCGTCTTCTTGTATGTCTATATCCATCGCCTCATCGCTTTCCGCCTGCGTTTTAGGTTGCGCATCGAATGTCGTGACATTTTCGGTGTGGTATTCTCCTCGGAGGTTCACGGAACTTTTATCACCCAAGGGGAAAGATTGGAAAAGGAAAATGAAAACACGGCCACAAAAGACTGTGTCTTCAGCACGAGAGAGCCTCCTCAGCAGTTCGTTGCATGATCTGAGAATGATCAGAGACTTTTGTTTGAAGTGTTTCTATACATAGATAAAGATTAGCAACTGTCTAAGATTTATGAATCAATGGGACTCACAGCAGTATTGCGCTCTCTTCTAGATTCGAGATAGTCAAACACTATTCTGCATCCGTCTATAGTTTGGCTATCCAGGAGTTCCTCTATAAGCCAGAATATGAGGCCCGGTTCGCATTTTTCTAGAGAACGCCTTCAGTATAAGTTCGCCCAGTGTTGCGCCTCTCTTACAGTCCATTGAAAGACGTACCGTTGTCCGAAAAGATGGAGACAATATCTAAAAGGTTCCATATCTGCATAAACGAGGGCTCGTCGATGGAGGTTGTAGCCTACAGGCGAGTGTGTTAGCAGAAGCCTTCCCAAGGGACTGGATGTAGAGGACGAACAAGCAAATCATAAAATATTTCGCGAAATGCAGTCTCAACCGCAGCATACTGAGTCTGCTGATTAGCCCCCACAGATACGCCATAATCACCTGCTAAAACACGCTCGATGACGTCCCCCAGGTTGGCTTCAGTCACTGGTGGCTCGATTGTAGGCGCATTCTTGAACGCGGCAGCTTTTTCCAGCAAGCTGTGTATAACATCCCTGTATACCTTCACGGCTCCCACATCCTTTCCACCCATCCTCAGGACGCTTTTATTTCTGCTTCTGCCAGCGAAAATGTGTGCTGTTGACCAGGGCGAAGAGGCGCAAAGAGTGTGTTGTGGTTGACTATCAAATGTCGTTGCTTTCTCTTTTTGTCCTCTTTGAGACTTTTGACCTGGAGCTTTGCCGCACATGATCCGTGCGCCGCGCCAAAACCTCACCTAAGCCTAGTCAACTAACTAAACCACCAGATAAATATCAAATCCAATTTAATTCTACGAACAAGCCGGTGGTCTGCTGCTTCTAGGTGCCGCCGCGCAAACGAACGAGGCGCAATCTCTTTGCTTGTAATGACCGAATTACAGATGCGCCCCGCAATGGCGCGTAACCTCGATGTCCGACCGACGGTTAATGACTTCCAAGACGAAAATCCATGGGTGTCTCTAGCTAAAGCTCACTGGCTGAAGGCTAGCAAAGTGCGCAAAGCGAGGCCAGAGGTGGTCAAGAATGAGATTTGGGATCCTCTGCAGCGTGATGGATTTCCTCTTCATTCCCTTTTAATACTAGAAAATCTGCACATTCTTGAGAGGTAAATACACACGTCGCAGCTCCGTGGTTGATTGTCGATTTGACTAACATTATACGCAAAGGTTTCTTTGGCCAACATTTACAGAAGATGCATCGAACTACCATGTTATGTTAATAGCTGTAATTGTAGGAATAAAGAGAAGGGAGCATTTACCCATTTGGAGTACGTATACCCTGAGGAATCCCATTTATGTTGGACATATCTAACGCCAGACACACCTATTAGCCCATTTCTTCGACCGTCCTTCAGATTTCTCAGTCCTCTTCAGACGTATACTCTCTATGAATCTCGACAATACACTACCACTGCCTTCGAAAATACATCTTCTGTCTTTCGTCATTGGTGCTTTTCAATCTCTTGAATGCAGCCAGATTCGCAAAGAGTGTGCTCCACTGGTTTCCATTGCTATATGGGACAATCTTTTCAGCAAGGAATCGAGGGACAATTTGCTTCAGCAGTCAGCAGCACTGAAAAAGGCGTGGCGATTGGCCGGCAAACGATATGACTCGGCAGATGAGCAAGGGAAGTCGAGGATACGATTTGAAAGGTCATGGCTATACTCTATGCTCATTGAATTTCTCCAACGTATAAATCCCGCCCAAGTCGAACGCAACAGCGAAGATAATATTCGATTTTGTGAAAGATTTCTGGAACTATTGGTGGACCTTGAGAGCCAGCTCCCTACTCGACGATACGTGAATGAATTGTTGAAGGATCTTAATATTTTAGCTGTTCTTCGCAAGAGCAAGCTCTATAACGATGATAAAAATACTCTATTTAGGGATTTTTATGTTCTGCTACGGCGATTTATCAACTTCTCTATTGATGATCAAACCGGCCAACATCTGTCAGCGCAAGACGCCTACAACATCCACTGTCAAGAATTGGCACGTCTTCAAAGGACTGCACTTAAGCATTTCAAAGATGACTTAACGTTACTTGCATTAGCAAACTACGGATCACTTGAGCAACGGTCTGAGCTTGCGGAACATCTCCGCAGCATTGATGATTCGCAGTTGAAGCAGCTTTGCCACCTATTGGGATTCAGAACCTCCTATCCTGAGCACACAAATATAGTACTTGACCGAGAGCTACTTCTGGAAATACTCCTTCTATATTTCGAAAGACGGCCAACTTTCCAAGAAGCCACTGCAGATGTCAGCATTCTTCCCACTGAGGAGTCATTATATGACCCCGCCTTGGTTCGAAATGAAACATATGATGGCTCTAGGCCTCTCGCGATTCCAAAGCTGAACCTCCAATATCTCAGCCTAGGTGACTTTTTGTGGAGGTCATTTCTTTTATATCGGTCCGAGTCTTTCTATGAAATTAAGAGCGACCTGGAATCCATTGTCAAGCGAATGCAGCCAAAATCGGGACAAGATGGCAAGGTTTCATTCGACGGGTTCTCTAGAATGGCTTTGCCTATTTCAAAGCCTGCTATAATCGATGTGGCTCAGGCACGAGTAGGCTCTCTTCATCCAGCCTATGTTCGCGCAGAAATAGCTCTCGAAGTTGGCCGGCTCGGTGACACTATCCGACAAGAGTGGGAGTCGCTTCGGCCAGATGATGTTGTCTTTTTACTTTCAGTGACGCCCAAACAGGTAGATAAGTCTAGCCTTGCAGCCAGCCAACGATCAGAGTCTAGAAACAGCATTAATATCTCTCACATTCGAACTGGCACAGTGGTTCAAATCCTGGATGAGAATGGGCGCCAGTTACGGGATACTTCACAAGGAAGAGCTAACGGCTATCCCCAACGACCTCGTCTAATGAGACTTATTGTGAACTTGGATGCAGTTTCTTATAAAGCTGATCTAGACAGAGTACAAAAGGGCAAACCAGATATATACGGCTTCATAAATGTGCTTGTACGCCGAAAATCACGAGAGAACAACTTCCGACCTATTTTAGAGACGATGCGATCATTGACCATTACCGATGCAGAACTTCCGTCGTGGCTCCAGGAGGTTTTCCTGGGCTATGGTGATCCTGCCAGCGCGAGATATACAGAGCTTGAAAGCCGTGTGAAGTCTGTTGATTATCGAGATACTTTCCTTGACTGGCATCATCTTGTGGAGAGCTTCCCAGGGCAGAAAATGGAGCCGCCGGAAGGCTCTACGACCATCTTTGGCCCCCCTTACGTTCTCGAAATGGTTGATGAGTCGCCAAAAGCCGAGACACTGAACCCTTCCAAGAAACGAAGAAGAGATCAGGCAGAGTCAGTACAGCCAATTTCCAATTCTATCAAAGTATCTACATATAAACCTCCGAACCCTGGCCCCTATCCCATGGATGCCCCGAAACTTAACCAAGTTCGATTCACTCCTGCTCAGGTTGAAGCCATTACCTCCGGGACTCAGCCAGGGTTGACGGTGATAGTTGGTCCTCCAGGAACCGGCAAAACGGATGTGATTACCCAGATTATAAACAACATATACCATAATTTTCCCCAGGAGCGTACCCTGCTCATTGCCCACAGCAACCAAGCACTCAACCAGCTATTCCAAAAAATTGTTGCGTTGGACATTGACGAGCGCCATTTACTTCGTCTTGGCCATGGAGAGGAAGAGCTCGAGACAGAGTCTAATTTTGGCAAATTTGGCCGAGTCGAGTCATTCCTTGAAAATCGAGTAAAGTTCCTCTCAGAGGTCGACCGTCTCGCTGCTTCAATTGGAGCCGAAGGAGCTCATGGAAGTACCTGTGAAACAGCGGGGTATTTTGATACTGTCTATATACGTCCAGCATGGATCAAATTTTGGGATAAGGTGCGATCCGATGGTTCGACAAGTGAGGAAATTATCAAGCACTTCCCTTTCCACGGGTTTTTCTCCAACGCCCCTCAGCCCGTGTTCCCGGCAGATGCCTCGAAAGATACGCTCATCGATATTGCCGAAGGTTGTGAGAGACATATAAGGAAACTCTTCTCTGAGCTGGAAGATATACGGCCATTTGAGATTCTACGACAACAGCGGGATAAGGCCAACTATCTGCTGATTAAAGAGGCCAGAATCATTGCCATGACCTCCACCCATGCCGCTATGAGACGACAGGAGATTTCTGATCTAGGCTTCCACTATGACAGTGTGGTTATGGAAGAAGCAGCACAGATCACGGAGATTGAAAGTGTGATCCCATGCATGATGCAGAAGACGAAGAATGGAGAATTCCCCCTGAAGCGGATTGTGTTATGCGGTGATCACTTGCAGAACTCGCCGATTGTCCAAAACATAGCCTTTCGCCAGTACGCCAATTTTGAACAAACGCTGTTCCTACGGTTGGTGAGGCTAGGTGTGCCTACCATCAACCTTGACCAGCAGGGTCGGGCCCGCGCCTCCATTGCCGAGTTGTTCAAATGGCGGTATGAGAAGCTAGGCAATCTCCCCATCGTCGAGAATCAAGAGGAGTTCAAGCTTGCCAACGCCGGCTTCCGCTACGACTACCAGCTCATCAACGTGCCAGACTACCAGGGCCAAGGTGAAAGGGAGCCGACTCCCCACTTTATCCAGAATCTCGGTGAGGCCGAATACGCAGTTGGGATTTACCAATATATGCGATTACTGGGGTATCCGGCATCGAAGATCTCGATTCTAGCCACATACGCAGGACAGAAGGCATTGATCAAAGATGTTCTGAGCCACAGGTGTGCAAAGAACTCTCTTTTCGGTATGCCCAAAATCGTCACAACGGTAGACAAGTACCAGGGCGAACAGAATGACTGTAAGTGCCCATCAACAAATCTTTTAACATCTATCCGCGCCTGCTAATTTCGCTTTAATTTTATTCTAGACATCATTCTTTCTCTCACCCGCACTAAGTCTGTGGGCTACCTGCGAGACGTACGACGGCTTACTGTAGCATTATCTCGAGCACGCTTGGGTCTTTACATTCTCGGCCGTCGAGAGGTTTTTGAATCCTGCTTTGAGCTCAAGCCTGCATTTGATATTCTGGGTCAACGCCCAGATAAGCTGATGCTTATACCCAACGAGATGTTCCCGGCAACCAGGGCGGTAGATTCTGCAGACAACGAGGGCACTCCCATGGAGAACCTTGAGCATCTTGGACAGTATGTATTCGAGATGACGCAGGCCAAAGTAAAGGCTCTTGGGGTGGAGACGACCGTTGTTGAAGCTGGAGATGAAAATGACGTGCCAGCAAGAGAGTCCGACGATGAAGACGATACTGCACGCGAAGGTGCTATTGAGTAGCTAACCAGGGGCATGCCACTTCGATGTTTAATTATGTGGAATTTGGAAGTTATTACATGTATGAACAGAGCCATTGTTTTCCTCCTGAATGATTTACCCATTATAGAATAACCCGTTAACGGGTATTTCTCTATATCTATCCTATCAGTTAGTTGTATGTGTGTTCCAATCTCCCGTGTGTTAAATTACAAAAGAGCCCTGTTAATTGGCCCTGTTAGCCGTGTTCCGAAAATTTCAAGGGCAAGGACCAGCTACTGTGGAATTGTTTTCAACATTCAGGAGCTGTCTCGCGGGATATCTCAAGGAGGGTTCATCCAAGGAAAATGTGAAACGGTCAGAGAATGTCTAAAGGGGTAAGTAGCTCCCGAGGAACCGCAATTCCAAGGCTTCTCGAAAAAAAAACAACGAATTAACTGATATTAGTTAACTAGTACAGTTGAGAGCTCGAGGATCAGGACTTCTTTTGTTCGATGATGTTTCTCGGGTCCCTGAAGGCTTGGGCGATGTACCTATCACGAGAGGTGTAAGCGAGAGTCCCAACTTGCCGATGCATCCATGACCATTCTTGATCCTTACTTTGTGTGGCTGCCTCTTGCCACAATCTCATCCGCCTTGTTGGTGAATTTTATGGTCGTGTATGCTAATTTGTTGCCAACTGGAGCCATCGTTAGATTCCCAAGAAGCACTTCTCCCATCTCGCCAAATTGGACCAATGACATCTGCGGACAGCCACGACATCGTGATCGTCCAAGCAGAAAGTACGGAGTAGAAACGGTGGAAACTTACACTTATCGCAAGTTACCTCCTAGAACAGCTTAGTTAGAAGGTACCCGTCTTTTCTGAGGGGTTCTAGCAGAGATCACCTACCGCCAGTATTTTATCGCCAACCTTCCCACCAGAGCCTAGATATGTGACTGGTAGGGTAACGTTAAGTTAGCCAGAGCCCAAAGCGTTCCCATCTGAACGGTTCATAGTTCCCGTTACCGTTCAAGTCAGTAGATACGCCAGTCGCAAAGAGGCCATGAGAAGCGACGGCAAGCGAGCCTCCGAGATCAACTAGAAACGGCCTGTTAAAAAAAAAGAGCAAGCAATAAACAAATAAAGCAGGTGAGAGAAGAGCAGTAGTAATTATGACACAGAGTACACGCATACCCATGCTGGCGATTGTTCCTCCATGAAGAATGCCCAATCGATTCTGAAGCAGACAAGCATCAATCATCGGCATGGCAAACCGTGACCCATCATCATCATCATCGTGTTAAGAGGCCGGCGGCATACCGTGTGTTCTTTTTGCACATCCAGCTCAAAATGGACAGTTCCTGGGCGAGCAGCAGTGATCCGTAGCTACGTCAATATCAGAGCAGATCAGCATCTCTTGTAACAGCCCTTTTCACCCCGATGATGTCAATGATCTCGGGGAACACTGTTCATGTTGGCAAAGAAAGACCCTGCGTTCTGGCACCCCCCGGCCATTCGATGTCTGATGAACATGCAGCACGAGCACGCTATGAGAGACAAAACATACACTGTCCAGTAGCCTGCGCATCTCTCGTCAGCCACGTATCCATGTAAGCAGAGCAGGCCATCCCGTACGGAGTGACTACACACCTTGGTTCCAGTCCCGAGGTCGCGCGGAAGTTCGCCCATACCTACAGCCAGCCAGCCAACCGGATGAGCGTGGGAACTACCAAACAAGAGCCCCCGGGTGCAGCAGATAACTAGTTACCGAGTTCACAAACTTCAGCGTGGCCATCGTATCGCCCTGTCTCTCCGTCCGTCTGTCTGTCCGTCTGTCCGTCTGTCTCTACACGGCGTAAGTACGGCGTAGACAGGCCCATGTCGTCGCTTTTATGCACCTCGTCGGACATCTTAATATCGCTGACTAAGCCTCCTTCTCGCGGTCGAGTTTAAAAGGCGGCCGGCAAGGGGGAAGACGAAGACGAAGACGAGGACGAGGACGAGGACGTCTTGCGCTGCTCTGCGTCTTCTGCTGTACTCTGGCCCCAGGCTGCATATATGCTTGCTGTCTGCTTGCTCGTTCGTGCATGCGTCTGCACCCCATAGCCCTCTTGTCTTAAATTTAGCGGTCTCTCTCACCGGCGCTAGCCTCGGAGACGCCCCCATGTTGGCTGCATTTATGGATTGATACTTACAGAGTACAGAGTACTCCGTACTGACCACAGAGAGACAGACAGACGAGCGATAGACACAGTCACGAAGCTGTCACAGCCTGCGAAGACGAAACACGAAGACAGCAGACTGGAAACACGGCCAGCCGCCGATCTAGGCTTCCCTCTGCCTCTCCTTTGGCGGCCAGGAAGAAGCCCCCCTGTCGACGGGAGAAGACGGCCAAGCAGCCTAACTCTTTAGCCACCGTTCGGACTTGCACAGGCTGTTTGCTACATAACTAGCTGTAGAGCCGTCCAGCTTGTTGTTGCTTATCTTACGGACCTCGGGCGGGCGAGACACAAGGACTGTTCTGGCTATAGCAGGCGCTGATATAACTAGCAGTAGTTAGCGAGCTTGGGGGGGAGGGCTGCTTTTGAGGCCGCAGAATCAAGCAGCCAACTTCACGGACTGGAGCAAAAGGCCTGGCCAGACGTCATGGAGCAGCTCATCGGACGGGCGGTAGTTACTTATGTACATGCGCCCTTCGAGACTCTTGAGGAAGCACAACTAGTACAGCCTGCGATTGGCCTCCTGCGGGACAGAAAAGGGCTCGCTCGTCTTCTCTGCTGCTTCTCCCCCATGTCGGTGGCTTCCGTGCCGCGGGAACTGTAAGCTAAAAATCGAACTATGGAGCCCGAGGCTTCTGCAGGGCATTGTACTCTGAGTTAAGATTCCACGCTACCTGCTGTGGGCTGCTGGAAAAGCTGGTTGGTGGTACTGCCTCCCCTGCTTGCTGTGGTGTGCTAAGTACGAGGGTTTAACACAAAAGAGGACCGCCGGGAGGAGAGGAAAAAAGTTATATATAAATATACAGCGACCGGCCACTGCCCCCAGGGACGGGTTTCGTCTTTTTCTCTCTCTCTCTCTCTCGCCAGGCGCCTCCCTTCGACCCACTGAGAGACACAGAGAGCGCTCGATGTAAAGATGGTGTCGTCTTCTTTCCTGCAGCGACTGGAAGTCCCCCATCCGCCTGGGCAGCCTCGCCCGACATGGCTGCTGAACAACGATATCAAGCCCATCGAAAAGGCCCGGCGCACATGGAGTACGTTCAATCAGGCCAGCCCTGACCCTGTTTTGAGCCCGATGGAAGGACGGGACTAACCGTTTGCCCTAGGCTGGTATGAGTACTTCTCGTTCTGGTGCGTTGGTGCTTTCAATATCACCAATTTCCAGCTGGTGAGCGGACCTCTTTTCGCTTTGACTTGATCGACAGGAGATTTTCAGTTAGTTAACTAACGGTTGTTGCTCTTCTTTACGGCAGGGCTCTGCACTGCTCGCAACAGGCCTCAACTGGTGGCAGACAACGGTTGCGACCCTGATTGGCCATATACTGGCTTCTCTGCTCATCATCATCACCAGCTATCCTGGGCTCGAATACCAGATCTCATTCCCGGTTGCTATGCGCATTAGCTGGGGTGAGTAGTGCAACTCTACGGCCAGAGTGATCAGCTCCTTTTTCTGACTCTCTATCTTTCTTCTCTCCAGGCTTCTATGGATCTGCATTTGTCGTTCTAAACCGCATATTGCTCTCGATTGTCTGGTTCGGCGTACAGTCATGGCAGGGTGGACAGATGGCATACGTCTGCATCCGCGCAATCTGGCCCAGCATCGACAAAATACCCAACACCATTCCCGCTAGCACCGGCATGACGCTGCCCATGTTCGTCGGATTCATCGTCTTCTCCCTCATCCAGGTCCCGTTCTTGATCCTCGGCCCAGGCCGGCTACGATACATGCTGCACGTCGGTGCCATCGGCGGCTTTATCTGCCAGCTCGTCCTCGTGTCATGGGCTGGCGGCACAAAGGGCCCACAGGGATTCGGAGAAATTCTCGATAGCACAAACAAACTTAGCGGCAGTGATGCCGGCTGGATGTTCGTCCTCGGCATCGGCTCGACCATGTCCAGTATCACTGCCGGCACCCTCAGCATCGGTGACTACGCTCGATTCGCCAGAAAACGGTCTGACGGAATCTGGTCTCAGGGAATGGGCGCATTCCCCGCATGGATAGCGAACGTGATTGGCATGCTGACCATTGCGGCAACTCAGAAGCGCTACGGAGCTGCTCTATGGAGTGTCGCCAGCCTGTTGATGGCCATTCAGGACGCTGACCCCAGCTCCAAGACCCGTGTCGGCGTCTTCTTCTGTGCCTTTGTGTTTGGAATCACACAACTCGTTCTCAATATCTCGGGCAACTCCTTCTGTGGAGGCACCGATATGTCTGCCTTGCTCCCCAAATACATCAACATCCGACGTGGCCAAGCCCTGACTGCCATTCTGGGCACCGTGATCAACCCGTGGTACCTATTGAGCGGAGCTCTTGTTTTCATCTCAGTGCTGTCTTCCTACGTCGTCTTCCTACAGCCTTTCGTCGGAATTGCCGCTGCCCATTATTTTGTCATCCAAAAACGAAGACTCAAGGTACCGGAACTTTACATTACTGGAAAGCAGTCTATATACTGGTATGACTTTGGTGTGAACTGGAGGACCGTCCTTGCGGTAAGACACTCCCTAGGAGCCAAATTTTATTCTGCTTTTATCTTCCTTATACTGACGTATCCGCTTAGTGGCTTGTCGGAGTCACTCCTCACATGCCTGGCATGGTCCACTCTGTGAATCCAAAGCTCCCTGTCACGGCTGGTGCATCTCACCTCTATTACATTGCCTCCATAACCGGCTTCTTCATTCGTAAGTTAACGCTCCTCTACCTTCCCATGAGAAGTCATGAGAATATCCGACTTACTGACCCTATCTTCCAGCATTTACCGTCTCAATAGCGCTGGACTACCTCGTACCCGTCAAGGTGCAGAAGGATTTCATCCAGTCCGTGTCCGTACGGGAAGCCCAGGACATCGCCAGCGAGATGGCCGAGTCAAACGAGAAGTCTGCTGAGGGTGCAGCGCGTCTGTCTCCAGACCGGGAGAGCAGTGTTGAGCACAAGATCCCAGAGGCCAATTCACACTCTGTCTAATAATATGATCCCTTTATATCAAGGATCAACTTTGCAGCGATTGTTCAGAGCATATATGTTTTCCTTTTACTCCTTTTTAGGCGACTATAACTCGATATTTAATGAGCGTTATATTCGCTAGAATTGACTTTCGAAAGACTCAGCGAGCCTTCCTCTATACTCTATATATTAATGCACCCCATGATCTCAATATATATCCACAGTTCCAACAGTCTTGCATTTTTACGTATATCAACCAATAGATACCAACCTCTCACTTTACCTGTCAAATGTGTTACCATTTTAATCAATCCCATTGCTGATTTATTGTAACTTTCCATTTCTCTTATTAGATATTTCTTCATTAGATATAAAGTAGGCCTGGATGAAGCAAAGCATATAACTACAGCACTCACTTTGTATAAAGAAGCCGCATTTGAGTATGCTAGCAAGGAGGTTTTTTGTCTAGGATCCATACAGGATATTCCCAGTATTTTGCCAGGCATGTCACCTGTTTTCTCTCCATTCGTCCGAAGACTCGAAGAATGTGGTTGGCGGCATCAAATGTCTATTTGTGTTACGTAATCATCACCCGCAGAGCCGCCTTTTAGCTTATTTCTTTCATTTTACGGCTTGACCGTCGTTCATCGTTTTTCTGGCCGGGGCAGGATTATAATGATCGATAGATAAGTCGGTCTGTGTCTGTACGGCAGGACGTTTGTCTGTCTAGCTGTACAAGATGGCAGCTGTGCCTTTTCGCCCGTTGGAGTATCTGGAGGGCCGTCCAGGCACCACATTCCTCAAGCTCTACCAGCAGCCATCGACAGCTCTCGCAATATTTCGAAGGATGCTCCCACACCTCGGTATGGCTCAGTTCAGGGGATTTTGGTGATGTCTACTAACAGTATTGCTAGCAAAATGCTTCGTTATGGCACTGCTATACCTTAAAGATCCTCTTCCAGCAACTGAGCTAGAGCTATGGGTGAGATCGGACAGTAGACGGTATATACGAAACTTGCATGCAGAGAATGAACCGGGACTCCTGCTAATGATTGTTATCGCAATAGTGAAAGAGACAACTCGCTTTCAATACTGGGCCGTCTACATATCCTATCGAGCACAACGACCTCGAACCATGTTCGTGCCTACATGGTCACCGAACCGTTTTCCACTTCTTTGCGGCAAGCTCTCATGGGAGAAGACCAACAGGGCTCGTTTGGAGTTATATCAGTGACTCCCGACAAGTATCCGGTCTCCGTCGCGGATTTAGACGAATATGCAAGACAGCAATGGGAGGCTGTGCTTGGGTACATGGTTGGGATGAGCTCGTTAAGCGGAGGACGGGAAACCATCACTCTCAGCAAAGGGGTGAAGCAGCTTCTTCAGGCCTGCCATCTGGTGGAAGTCCGAGATCGGAGAGTTGAAATTACGAAAGAAGGATTCGCCTTTGTTCTACAAGACGTCAATACCCAGGTCTGGCATATACTCATCCTCTACGTCGAGAACGCAGAGGCTATAGGGATGGAAAGCGTCGAGGTTCTCTCGTTCGTTTTCTTGCTTAGTAGCCTTGAGCTCGGCCAGTCTTATGAGAAAAAGGACCTCACTCCCACACAGCTTCGAACACTTGCCGATCTCACTGATTTTGGCATTGTCTACCAACATACGCCTGCTTCTGGGTCCACCCGATTCTACCCTACCCGGCTGGCTACTACACTTACTTCTGACTCTTTGGCCATGTCAGGCCCAATATCAGGAGAACCTGCGGTCCCGACCACAACTGCAGGTACTACAACGTCCGGTGATGCAGGCACCGGATTCATTATTGTTGAAACAAACTACCGTTTATACGCATACACATCATCACCTCTACAGATATCTCTCATCTCCCTCTTTACCACTCTAAAATTCCGATTTCCGAATCTTATTACCGGCAAAATAACCCGTCAATCCGTCCGCCGAGCCATTGAAATGGGTATCACGGCTGATCAGATTATATCGTATCTCACCACTCATGCCCATCCACAGATGCGTAAGACGAAAAAATCTACGTCAAACGTTTCTTCTTCGGTCTTGCCACCTACTGTTGTCGACCAAATACGGCTTTGGCAGCTGGAACGAGATCGAATCAAAGCAACATCAGGATTTCTTTTCAAGGAGTTCGACACCTTTGCGGAATTCGAAGCTCCTTGCAAGTATGCCGAAGAAATCGGTGTCTTGGTTTGGAAATCTGATTCAAGGAGGATGTTTTTTGTTACCAGACATGAACAGGTTGCTGCGTTCCTACGTAGCAGAGCGGCGTCAAGGGGTTAAAATGGACGGTTATTAAAAGCTAGCATGGCTTACTTCTCATGATATTTTTTTTAATGGAGAAAACTTGGGTAAGCATCTGCTTTACAACGGCGCACGGTTGGGTGGAAGACACTGATGTACAACGTATTATTTGAATAACTACCTGGAGCAGGGATAACTAAGTCACGTCCCTTTTAACCATCCTCCCTTCTTTCCTCCCTTTTTTTTTCTTTTTCTTTTTTGCCTTTTCATCCTTTTCTCTCTCTTTGTTATCATTGTTATTTCTCGCAAATCATCAATTCGTCACAATATCTTCGAACGTTCAGGGGGGTAAAATATGAAGCAGGACTTTGAATTCACAAAGCATCAGATGCGGCACCGCTTGGATGTGGTAGCCGTGTTTTCGTGTGTTTGGGAAGATACCTAGCCGAAGCTCTTTCTGACAGAGCGAAGAATATCCATGACACCGGCTTCGCCCTTTCCACCAGCCTTTTCGGACTTTGGGCAGCCCTTCTCAATCTCCGTGGCAAAACGCTGGGAGAATTTACGCCCAAAACGTCTGGAGTAGGCTTCTTTGAATTCGGCCAAGCTGGCACTCGCTTCAGACGTGAGACAGGCTCTCTCCAAGACCATGAAGGCGCGCTTGATATGGTAATCTTCCAGGTTGACGGACATGGAAGCTTTTCCTTCGAGGGTGTTGCCTGGGATCCCATACCCAGTGAAAGGATCAGGCTTGTTGAACGCTCCTTCGTAGCGGAAACTGTTTGTCAAGGTGACGAGTCTTCCGAGCCAGTAACCGTATGGCTTCGCGATTTTGACCTTTTTTCAAATGAAATTTCCGTGTCAGCTTGTGAATGGGGGTTATAGGAAGATACCAGTGAAGGTGGTTGTACTTACTACTTTGATATCAATGGTGTCACTGGAAGCTGGGGTTTCGATGGAGGCGCTGCGCTGAGAAACACGCCCGAACTTATCAACAGACAAGGTGTCTGCATGAGGATCCTCGCAGTAACACTGGGCTCCTTCACGAATTGGGTACATTGGAGGCTCAGGCTCGAAATCTGACTTTTGATGAATGGCCCCCATAGTCTTGCTCTTAGGGAGTTGGCGTGGACGAACGAGATTAGGCTTGCGGCTGAATGCTTCAACGGACCCCTTTTCGCACTCATCGATTGTTCTCTGCATTTCCTGTGGCATTTGCGTGGTATTCTCGTTGTATCCTTCATCATCAGCAAGTGCATAGAGTGAACGGCCGGCCGCCTTTTGGGCTGCGATACTCTCCGGCCATGGGAAGTAGCGGGCAGCAGACTTGGGGAGCAGAAGACCAGGCCCGTAAGTTGCCTTGACTGTGGCCTGAGACGAGGTATCAGAATCAGGTGAAGGATTCAAAGGGGTCTCGTGGCCCTTGGCTTCTTTTCCTTTCACATTAGCAGCTCCCCGCAAGGCCTTCAAGTCCTGATACCCAATGAAAGGCTTTACGCCTGGCTCAGAAGGTGCACAATTCTCCTTCTTATCATCGTCTGACAATGGCCAGCGCAGAGTAGTATTAGCAGCAGGCTGGACTGGCTTTGGGATGTTGGAAGTCGTTCCACGAGCCAAGTACTTTGGTAGCGGAGGTAAAGGGGGCTCAGGAGACTTCACTCCAGCAGGCTGGAATCCAAAGGATTGTTTCGAGTTAAGAGTGCCCTGGGAACGGACCGGAAGTGAGCTACTCCTAGTAGCTGCTCGGGATGCTGCCGCGCCAGCAACGATGGGCTTCACATCACCTTCTGCTTCGTCTGGCTGACGACGGATCAGTGGCTGGAACGCAGCTCGAGCAAAGTGATGGAATGAGTTCGTTAAGGATGATTTCCTGCCAGACTTTCCCGCGTCCTTATCTCCCTGAAGCAGAGGACGCGATGAAGCAGGGGACGGGGTCTCCCGCATATACCGAGCACGAGGCATCTTGCCCCTTATCCTGGTTGCTTTGTCTGGAGGGATAAAGGCCCCTTCAAGGCCTGGTATGCTCAAGTCAACAAAACAGAAGTACTGCAGAGGTAGGACTGTGAAGAAGAAGGTTGTTATTAGTGAGAGGAAGGTGGAAGAAAGAAAGAAGAGAAGTTTTTTATATCAGTTCCTAATTAGGACAGGAAGAGAAAGACAGGACGCTGTATTGTGGCACGACATAAGCATGCAGGACGCAGAAGAGCGGATTGTATTGTATATAAAAAAGAAGTAGGGCTAGCTGGTGCTGGCTATCTAGTTTGGCCATAGCTAGTCATAGCTATTGTCACTAGGAAGGAAATATCCATCGTTTTTGCCTATCAGACCAGTTTAGCCCTTCTGGAAGTGCGTTTAATATTGCCTCCCTTTGATCTATTCACTGCATGTCATGATTGTTCCTTCAGCCACTTTCACCGCGCTCCCCCGGAGATGGACAGTCTCAATCTCCTTCTTGCTGTCCTTAAGGGTAACTTGGAGCCCTATCTCGCTTCTCTTTCCCATCTCAACACCTTGGATAATGGTGTAGGTTTCCTTGCCCTTTGCAAGGATCTCGGGATCTGTCAGGGTGAGATAGGAAGCTAGTCCACTCGCAGCACTGCCGGTAGCGGCATCCTCCAGGTTTCCTGCCATCATCCTGGATCGAATGACTTTCTTCTGGAGCTCCTCATCCCAGACGTCCCGAACGTAGAAATAGACCGAAACATGGCCCTCGACATCCCAGCCCTCATCCAAATAACCGCCGGCTGCTATTCCCTTGGCTGGGATGGACTCCGTGGCTGTTGTGACCTGAGCCAGGACTTCGAGGCTGGGGAGGTGGACGTGTACCGCTGTCATCCCCTTGACCACAGACACGACTGGGAACCCGGCTTGGTACGCTTGAGCGTCCAGCGAAGATCCCAGGCTTGGATGGAGCCTCAGGAGTTCTGACAGTGCCATTCTGGTAGAATGAATACGCACATTGTGCGGGATGGAAGCAGACACTTGGCTTGGATTCTCTGGCACCAGAGAAATTGGTATATTTCCAGCCTTAGTCGTGAGTGAGGTTGATTCGCCCACTTGTCCGCTAGAAGCTTTATCCTTTGAGTGAACGAGCAGCCACGACGCAGCGCCGATTGTTGGATGACCGGCAAACGGAAGCTCCTGTTCGGTTGTGAAGATGTCTATTTTCCGGGGCTGGCCAGGGTCAGAGTTCCCTGGATGAAAGAAGATCGTCTCTGAATAGTTGAATTCAGTGGCTAGCGTCTGCTTCTGCTCCTGAGTAATTGGATTGGAGTCAGATAGGAAGACGACGGCCAAGGAGTTGCCCTTGAACCGCTTGCTGGTAAACACATCCAATGTCACGTACTGCAATGAGGCGGACATCTTGACAATTGCCCGTTAAAGACATATACCACAGAGACGAAAAAGACTATTTTTCCTGATAACGGTCGAATTTATATGCAGACAGCGAATGTCGTTGATTGGTAATATTGTTGTCATTTCTCGTATCTGTTGGCGGAGCAAAAACAGGGCGTGTCGACTTGAGGGGAGCCGAAAGTTAAAAAGTCCCGAAATGCCGGGCTAGCAATGCAGCATAGATAGGTATATTATTATATCAAAGTCATTAACCAAAACCGTTTACTCAGAATCGCTGTCAACCACAAAGCCAGCCATCATCTTCGGCCGTCGTGGTCGTGTCGTCGTGACGGGTTCATCATCTTCGTCATCGTCATCAATGTTTTGTTTATTTGTGGCCGTAGGTTTCGATGGCCTATCAACTGCAGTTGATGCCCACTGGAAATCGGGAGCGGATGCTTTCTCTCCCACATCAAGTATGAGGTCGTCCTCCGTAGACGTGGGCGGCGTCTGCACCTTGCGTCTAGGAGGAGCACCTAATTCATCCTCCTCTTCGTTTCCAGAACCTAGATCTTCACTCCTTGCACGCTTCCTCTGACTAGTACCTATGTCTTCCCCATCACTCTCACTTGAGATGGCTTGTTTTCGTTTCCCACTTGTTGCCTTCTTGGTACCATCGCCCAGCACAGTGCTACCTAGACCATCGATATTCATTGCCTCCTCCACAAGCTGAGCCTGCCTCTTGCGTCGTTCCGCCTCTCGAGCAAAGAATTCTTGATCGGCTTCGTCATCAGTTTCATCATCACTGGCATTGACAAAGAGACTGCTTTTGATTTTCCTCTGTCGTTCCAGCGCATTCTGTTCACGAGCAAGTCGTCGAGCATTCAAAGTCTCCTCATCTAGCTGGTTGTCCTCATCAGCGTCTGTCTTCTTACGCCTTTTCTGCTTCAGTTCCTTCAATGCTTTTGACTTTGATCGGGGGTTTGGAGGGAAGAGGATTTCATCAAGCCCCAGATCCTCTCCCTCGGAATCATTGCCAAAGTTAACCTGGGTTGTAGCCTCGTCATTCATGGATTTGGCAGCTATGCGTTTCCGAAGTATGAGTTTGTGAGGGTCAACACCGTCAATCTCAGTGGCTGGATCGTCACAATGTTTCTGAATGGAGTTGCGCGTCTCCTCAAGTTCTGTAGATGGAATAGAGCCTGGGATGCTCCAGGGGGTGCCCAGTACATCTTCGCCCACCAATTCTAGGCCGGCTAGTGTGAAAAGAAGACGTAAGCGGCCATTTTTGAACAAGGCCGTTTTGCGTTTCTCGTCAGGGGCAGAGACTTCTATAATGATGTTAGCATAGGGTAAATTCAAGGTAAGCTGCGTACAACCATACCTATTGTGGGTGTGCTAGGTGCGATATCTGCAATGTCAGCAGCATCTTGTATTCCCCGTGCTAGATCTGCGAGATCCCAGCTCTTCCTATCCTTGAGGGCATTATCAAGGACCTCACATAACCACCGAACCAATTCCTCGCAGTTATCTGCAACCAAGACAGACACAACGATTCGGATCTTTTCATCGGCGGTCCTAGTATAATTTTGCTTCACTTCCAGTTCTGCAGCGGGTCGGGATGCTACTGACACAGTTTGCTTCTCTTGGCCATATTCCAAATAGTGTACTGTGGCAGGAATCTTGCTGAACAGTAGTTCCGTGATGAGCTCTGGCCGCTCATCAATCTTTTTGAACATCTTTTTTAGAATTTGACGAACAAGTTCCTCCCATTCTCCGAACGCTGGGCTTGACGACAGTAGCCCTTCCGGTCCCTTAATCATCCTAGTAAAAAGGGCGATTATGTCCAACCTAAATAGTAGCACACTCAATTCTTGTTTAAATGCAACTCTGTAGAAGAATCGGTGTGCTCGTTTCAGCTGTTCGGTATTCAAGTCGCGATAGTAGGACGTCAGGGCAACAAACGTGTTGACCGAGTTCTGAGTGCAAAATTTATTACAAAACCTCTTGAAATCAAACGATCTCTCTGCAACGTTTCGAACAGCTTCTGCTCTGTCTTTTTCTTCTTCATCTTCCGAGTTATCAAATTCGCCCTCCTGGTCCTCCTGGTTTCCCTGAGCCTTGTTTTGTGCCTTCTTCTTCCGCCTTGATATTCGCTTAGAACGGACTTGCATGTCCACGTTTTGCTTCGAATATTGCTCTAGCATGCGTAGGAAGACATGAGCAAGCTCTGTGCAGGCATCAAGATACCAAAATCCTTGTCCTTTATAACCTCGGAGGGTAGACAATATTCTATCATGTGTTGATTCTTCATAGAAAATGCGGCTGAGGATATTTTCAGCAATTTCTTGATCCTCCTCAAGAGAAGATTTGCTCATCTCTTGAACCGTAAGCAATGTCTGTGTGAAAGACAGCATTCCAGCACTGAGATCCTGCCACTCTTTGTTGTCAAGGCTAGCTTGCATATATCGATTCAGGGCAATAAAAGTTTCCTGGTTTAAAACACTTGCTACTAAAGCAAAGCTGTCAGGGTCAATATCCCTCGCGGAACCAGTGGCATTTCGGCGAGCCTTCTCTTGTTGTTCGCGCCGCGCACGTTCAGCGCTTAAAAACCAAGAGCTGACGAAAAAGAAATGGCGAGACGAAGATTCACTCAAACGATCGGACTCTCGTTCCATAGCTTTTCGTATACTAGTCATCAAGGGATTGAATCCTGAATCAAGAAACTCCTCAACAAAAAGTCGAAGATAGTTGAGGGCCGACGAGGTCAAGTGAACTTGCACATTGAAATTGTTTGACGTTTCATCAATCACTGGCCGTCTTCCTCTCGGTTTGTTCCACTTTTTTGTTTTATCCATTTTATCAAAGGCCGCTTGGTCATTAAGCAGAACGTCTTGGCCTGATACAGAGGACACTTTCGCTGCGTCTCGTTTTACCCAAATCATGGTCCCAAACCTACCATGACGGGTAGGGGCATTCTTTAAGCGATCACGATTTAAATTGCTTTCTGCAGCCATCAGTCCCTTCAGCTCATCCTTGCGCGTTGCACTCCGTTGGTTATCATCCATAAATATCTGTCGCACGTCAACACCCTTGACAAGATGAAATAATATCTCGAGGAGAATAACGTCCTGGAAGGTAAACTCTTCTCCGATGTTTGAACATAATGTAAGAATCAGGGCAAAGACATCTTGGTCATGGAATGCATTGATTGTCATTGACCTCGAGGCCTCATCTTCATCTCCCTCAACGGCTAGATTTGGAGTCGCGCCTAGAATCACCACATTTCTAAACAGATATAGAACAAGTTTTAAAATGCCTTCATCTCGGGATGATCTTTCTTCCCGGGGGGTAGTTATACTTGGGAGACCTATGCGAATAATCGACCGGAGAATTGAGTTAGAGGGGTGAGCCAGTATTCCTGTTTTATAAGAGACTTGGGCATGCTGTAGATAAGGAGTGTGCCTGTGGTGATTAACAGTCATCTCGCTGTGTATTTCGACCGGCCATGTCAACGGTACGAGGAGCTCTACTAATCAGATATTAGCCACGCCCCAAAATTGAATGAACCAGATGGTGGCTCACAGCACGCCAAAGTTATCCTTGACTTGTACTTGTCGGTCGGCTTGACTTCATCCCATAGAGCTAAGATTGGTACTAAGTCCCCGTTGACAAGATTACTCTCAGCAATGCATCTCGAAACATCTAGCCGGTTCAATTTCTCGTCGTAGAACCGCAGCCATTTTTTAAGGTCACGCAGACAACCCAGGGCATCGTCTCCAAGTATATATCGTCCGGCTTCGTCGTTCGCGGAGCCACCGAGCTACAATGAGATAGTCAGTACTGGCATGTTTAACATAGTCTCGCTATAGAAGCAGGGTGTCATACCGCCGTAACCAAGCCGTAGATGAATGAACGCACTTCGGGGTCAACCACCTGGTCGCCCGGCTGCGCTACAAATGGCTCACCGTCCATTATTTTAGAGAAGGTAGAAATTCAATGAATTATACGTGGCATTTCGTTGTTAACATGCCATCGCCTTGGCCCGCAAATGAGGATTTAATGTCATCGTTCTGTCCTATATTTACCGTCCGTCACTGCTGATTTCTCCAGTTCAATTAAACGCCAAACGCGCAGACGCGTCAAACCTAGGCGGCACGCGTCTCGGAGGCGGCTAAACTATGTCCCGTCAGTGCCGAAAATAGCCGCAGGCCGGGAAAGTGACGTCGCCGAGGCTCAAAGCCACGTGAAGCTTCTCCAAAACGACTTCTTCGACCTGAACAACTCAAGAAAACCACCAACTTCTCGTCATTATCCTGGCTTGATTCGCTCATATATTGTCTTTTTTTCAATACATTACAGTAGCCATAATGTTCCGAAGTGCGGTCGCAGGGCGCCTGTTGGCGACCACTCGGTCAATTGGCGGGGCTCGTGCCTTTAGCTCAACTCCTGCCGCACAGGTGGCCGCCGAAGTCAACAGCGTAGGAGTCATTGGTGCCGGGCAGATGGTAAGGGCAATTGATTAATAGCAGCTTTACTTTACAATTAGTACGCCTTATCGCTAATGCCTACTCTGCGTAGGGATTGGGAATTGCTTTGGTTGCTGCGCAAAAGGCAAACATCCCTGTCACTCTGGTTGACAACTCCCAAGCTTCCCTCGACAAAGGACTCAAATTCGCCGGTGAGAATCGCCCGAAAACCACCTCCACAAATTAGACAAAATAGACTTTGTATTGATGGGAGTGTAGAGAAACTGCTTGCCAAGGATGTTGCAAAAGAGCGCATTACACAAGAAACTGCCGATAAAGTCCGCTCAATGCTCACCCCTACCACAAAACTCGAAGATCTCTCAAGCTCCGACTTCATTATTGAGGCTGTACCCGAAATCCCAGATCTTAAGACCTCTATCTTCTCCAAGCTCGTTAAGATAGCCCCAGCCCACGCCATCCTTGCTACCAACACATCCTCCATCTCGATCACTCGAATTGCCGCAGCAACCACCGAGGATCCCAAGGATCTTTCTGGCCCATCCCGAGTTATTTCCACTCACTTCATGAACCCAGTTCCCGTTCAGAAGGGTGTAGAGATCATCACTGGACTGCAGACTTCTCAGGATACCATTGACACTTCTCTTGAGTTGATGAAGCGTATGGGTAAAATTGCCGCCCGATCGACAGACTCCCCTGGCTTCTTGGCCAATCGTATCCTCATGCCTTATATCAATGAGGCAATTAGCTGCTTAGAAAATGGAATTGGTACCAGAGAGGATATTGACAGCATCATGAAATATGGAACTAACGTCCCCATGGGTCCATTGACTCTTGCCGATTTCATTGGCATTGACACCTGCTTGGCCATCATGAACGTTCTACACCAGGAGACTGGGGACAGCAAGTACAGACCTGCTGGCCTACTAAAGAGAATGGTTGATGCCGGCTGGGTGGGCAAGAAGGCTGGAAAGGGTTTTTACGATTATTGATTAAGCATCTAATGCCGTCAAACAGTTAAGTGATGGTGTGAAGCAGCTGTTGGGGTTTGTAATTTACGACGAAAATAGATACTCCATGCTATGTACAAGTCAGATTAGGGAGAAAATAGAACCTCAGTGAAAGTATTCAATATATATATATTTGCCATTTTTTGATACAGGGGGTTTAGTGCAAATATACGGCTCCGGGTCTTTTAGGGCTTAACAGGATTAGGTACCGTGAACAGCTGAATATTAGCGAAGACAATTCTGCAGAGTAGAAGGCCACTGTAGACTGGAGAAAGAGATAGCATAAGCTAATGAACAGCAATTAGGGTATAGCATAACGGTATATATATATATATAACAAAAACAAAACTGCGCCTTAGTTCACCAACCCCCTTCCAGCAAAAGACACCAGGTCTAGCCCCCTAGATATTTATCGATACACAAACTGCGACTGGTTAGGAACACGCCCCAGCCCATTTCTTGACCTACTCCGCGCTCGACTTCCCGTAGCCATAGTAGCTCCGCTCTTGCGAGCATCAGAGCCGCGACGTCTATACCCAAATTCGGTAAAAACAGGGGGCGGCGATAGAGGCGATTGGGGTGTTTCTCTGCCACTTGTAACTGAATATGTTGTGCCTGAGTGGCTAGAGTTGTTTGCAGATGAATATCTGCTACTGGAAGTTACTGTGTCCTTAATGGCGTCGGGGCCATTGATCAAAAACATCCTATGCTCTTCAAGGAGGCCATAACGTTTTTCAACGGCAATCTTGAACCACCGACGGTCCGAGATTACTGTGGAACTCAGCTCGTAAAGAGTATAGTTTGTCTCGCGTTGTAAATCCCCCAGCTTCTTCATGATGCCACTCTGAAGCGCCGAGGATTCCAAACTGCCGTGGTATTCCAGTTCACTCATCTCCTCCTTATGAGTTTTTTCCAGTGCATCTTGTTCCCTCTTATGTGATGCATTAAGTTTGTCGAGTATTACCTTTTCTCTTTCCTCTCTGTTCGGCTTGCCCTTCAAATGGCGTTGCATCTGAACAAAATTATCATCTTCATCCTCCTCCTGGCGAGTTCTGAGTTCAAGCTTTGTGGCGCTTTGACTGGCCTCCAAGGCGCTTTTACGAAGCTTAAAGTTCGATTCATAGGCTTTTTCTAGCTTTACCCGCGTCTGGTCGAATTCTACCTGTTTTGAGACCGCTGCGACCTGGATCTGCTGCGCGCTATCCTGATGTCTGTTGATGATCATAGACTGTTGAATCTTGTTGATCTTAGCTAGCTCCGCCTGGAGCCTCTGGATTTGGTTGGCTATCGATATAAGGCGTTTCATTTCTTTGTCGTGTTGAACTCGGCGTCTTCCGTCATCTTGCCTTCTTTGTCCATCGCCGTCTGGGTGAATTTGGGTATTTTCTTTCCGCAATCGCTCCTCGACTTCTCGTCGCTCGCTGCGCTCGTTTTCTGCATTTACAGAGGCTGGCTGCGCCCTTTCACGATGTGTTATGGTGTCAGGCTCCACTTTAGGTTTTGTCCCATGTTGATTAGGTTGAATGCAGCCGCAGGTCCCACCCCTGGCGCCGCAGAAACAGCTGTATGCATTTAGTTAGATATTTTCATAGAACAAACAACGAGGGTATCATACCAAAATTCAGCACCGCAGTGACAGACCACGAATCCGGAGTCAGCAGTTAGATCTACCATTGCCTGGCATTTGTAACAGCGTCTCCAGCCGTTTGAGGCAATACTATCTACCCTTTCCGGATAAGGGGCTTGAGGACAATGTTCGTTGCTCTGATGGGCCGTCCTTTGACAGGCAGTACATATCGACCATTTGCATATCGGGCATTTCTGTGTCGGAGCGCCCAATTTGATCTTTTTTGGAGGAATCCATTTTCCACAGCTTGGTGATGGACAATACCATCTGCTAGTTCGGGGTATAGCATACTCTTGTACTTTTAATTTGTATTCCTCCCGAAGTAGGGAGTCCACATTGTGTAGGATCAATTTTGTCGGTATATCTTCCAGGCAACATTTTGGAGGGAACTTGCTCTCGTTATTCATAGCTGTCTCTATCATGCCAGAGAAACACGATAAGCAGTATTTGTGCGCGCACCCCAAAGGGACTAGGTTCTTGTCGAGTAACTCAATAAAACAGCTTGCACATTCTCTAAACGGTCAGGTAGCTGATTAGTAACTGGTCAAACAGTATGAAGAACGAGATGGGACGGTAAGGATGAATGTAGAAAACACTTACCGAAAACTGTTGCGTTCCATGAGCCGAAGTTTGAGGTTCTTCGTGCCCCCGTTGCTTTGACCCCCATACGACTAAACGTCGCTCCCGTTGCAGTGGACTCGGGTGAAAAGCATCGATCTAGCTGATGGTCTCCAGTGTGATCCTTTACAGCGGGTGCCTGGGTCCGTACCGGCAGTGAGTGCCGGTCATCCCCCATGGTTGTACCATGACTATATGTTGATGACGGTGGTGGCGGTGACCGTCCACCTCCGTTCTCACTGTGTTGGCCTGCAGATTTGGGAGGCCGTTCTGTGTCCAACGGCTGACTGATTATTTGAAGAAGCTCTGGAGAGACATCATCGGGAAACACATGGAGTTCCTGAGGACATGGCCGATCCGCACGGTGAGATGGTAGCTGGCCATTATCAAGCAATAGATCCTCTAACCCGACCAGCTCAGGCCACTCTGCAAGCCGGTCAGCATCATCCACCAGGCCTTGCAGAGGAGCTTCGAGGTCGCGAGTCAACTGAGGAACCGACATAGGGTGATTTCTGGACAACCAAATGCCGTTTTCTGGGGTTCAACATTCAGCAACAGTTTCATTCTACCAAAACGAGCACCGACGACGTTGGTAGGAGGAATGCTAGATTTCAGCGACAATATCCGACGAGTCTTGTGAGAAGAGGTATTAAAATCGCAAAGCAAGACTCATTCACGTGGGGGGAAACAATAAAATATAAGAGTAAAAACTCTTGGGGCGCATCTGCGGTCGTATAAATCTGGGGGAAAGCGGAGTCTGGAGAAGGACCGAAAGCCACTGACGGCCATCGTTAGGCTGACAAAACGAACCGTAGGAGGGGGCCCCAAGGAGGGTGAGGCTCGCTAGGCTCCAACTGCCTTGACTCGACTGCATCAAAGTTCGTTTATTTATGGAATCCCAAGGCGCCGCTCGGTGGTTGGTTGGTCGCTGTCCCTCCCTTGAATGTGAAAAGGAGCCTTGTATGTATCTGTATGGCGGAGGCCTGTCTACCCCTGTCAGCTGGGGCCGCTGCCAATCGATCTCTATGCTGGGGCAGTGCGATGGAGCAACGAGCGGCGATCGGAGATGCCTGGATGGATGCAGCGTTCCGTACCTTTGTTGGACCCTTACTTGGTACGCTTTGTGAGGGATAAAAGATCCACACCGGTGAAAGGCACCAGGTAGATCACGTACCATATAATATGCACGACACATCTCCTGGACTGTGAACGGAGTGCGTCTGGCATGTATTCACGGCCGGATTGCAAATAAACCAAGGGGCGGCGTGAGCTGAATGTAGTTTTGCGCCAGAATTTAGATAACGAAGCTGGGCCTCGTATGCCGCCCTAGAAATATTTCTTTTGCACTAATTGCCCCTGAACACCGAATAGGCGTGTCGCAACCCTGGACTACCGTGGGAGCATCGAAGTTATTTTTATGTAAGATGTTGAAGGTTGAACGAGTGGTTATATGTACTTCAACTGCTGTTGGTTGCGTACCAGTGTGGTGGAAATACAGCTCCATGTCTAACAAGGGGTCAGGAACAGCGTCTCAGGAACACCTGTCAGAGAATACCCCGTCCTGGCTGAACCATGGTAGCGAACGGCCAACAAGTTTTGGCTAACGACATGTCCTGTGCATGTTTCGTTCCTCCAGTCACATGCATGGAGATACCATCCTAGAGCAGCCACAATTCTCAGCATCGAGGGGGTGGATAATTGACGGTCTGGCGCCAGTTCCTTATCAGCAGCTAGACTGGGGTTTGATAGACTAAAGAGGTTGGATCGGAAAATTTCCAGCATGACTTGCGATAACAGTGCGGAGAGTTCCATACCCACCAGCTAAAATAGGGCGAAACCATGCTAATTGGCATCGCGTGCATCCTGTGGAGGCAACAGCCATAATTTGCAGCAGTGCACCCCTATCGTTGTTACCCACACCGGGCCGGCGCACGAGATCTGTTATCTACCAGGTTATGATGTGACATGGAGGACAGAATTGAGTGGTTTGTCCAATCAACCCTGAGAACAGAACCTTGACTAAATGGCGTTTGGTCGTTTCATATGTTCTGGGCTGCTGCCGATGGTGGTCAACCGCGAGAAAGTCGTAAAATCAGAGACTGGGGATAGGCTTCGAACATGTTAATCTAAATACTCCAAGTATTATACCTTCGGTCACATATTCATCCAGTAAACTTTTTCCAGGCCCAGGATGAACCGTACTCCTGGTATTGTTGCCGAGTAATCGCAATTTCTTTCATAGTTTCCTGGTTGGCTGCTAGCCTACTTGCCCCTAGCCAGGTCGAACGGATGGGACTTCTCGAAACGTCAGTCACTGGATTCTAGAAATATCAAACACGACCACAAAAGCAGGGGGAAAGAAGGCTAAGGGGCTTGCTTACTCTGGGCCAGCCTTCACGCGAACGACACACTCCGTCGGTGCAAGATGCCGGACACCGGTTTCCCTAGGATTAAGTGCATTAGCAACCTGGGCATTCTAGGGTATTCCCCTTTTCTCAATATATAAGAACTTACAATCGTTCTATAAACCCTGGAATCAATGCATTTCCCCCAACAACAAAGATATTGGCCAGGAATGATGGGTGAAGGCCTGTGGGAATAACAGACAAGCATTGAATTATCATGTCAGGTATCCCCGGCTGTTGGAGCCCAATATCCTGGGGATTGAACAGTATCTCCGGCACCGTAAACCGCTCATTCCCTAGAACAAGAACGTCCTCCGCTGCGGATGGATTAACTCCGGTAATGAGTCCTTTCCTTTTCTCAGCAGCCAATAGGCTATCGTGCGGTCGCATAAACCCCTTTTTGTGTGCATTTGGGTCTGGTAGCACATAATCAACCACTATGTCGGTGGGGCCCCCTTTTCGTCCTTTCCACGTCTTTTCCATATCCGTGTTGAAATCCTGGCTGACATAGCAAACTGCTTCTTTAACGCTGTTGACAATATGCGTTTCATCCAACATATTATACTGTCGAATCGAAACCAATTCCTTCAGATAGTTTGTAAGATGCTTCCCACCAAGTTCAAGTCTCCTTATCGCTCGTTGGATTGGGCGCCCTTGGTACACGGGAGTTACAGTCGTCTGAGAATAACCCGAGTCGACAACTAACATACACTCAACTGGTAGGTTTGGTAAATTCGTATCCTGGCTAGGTGGGTCTCCAAAGAGGGATCGGACATCATTCCAGGCATTGAGACAGGGAGCTGCACAGGCAATACCAATCGTAAGTATAGGAACTTTCATAATATTACTTTCACATAGCACTGATTGTACATACCAAGGTATCGTACATATCCGCCAAACCCCCATTCTTCCATTATCATCTCGTCCATATTCTTTTGCAAACTGCTCAAGGCGTTTGGAGCCTCAGTTAATATCAAGGTTGTCCCAAGGAAATCTGAACATTGTATATCCGGTCTACGAGCCGTCTTCTCATCAAAGAATGTATGTTCCCATATCTCCCGTTGAGCTTCCCAATTGACCAAGTATCCCTTCTCGACCGGACGGCGAAAGCTGACCTCATTCCAGTCTGATATGTGGGTTTCAAGCTCTAAACCTGTATATATCTGATTATCTCGTGTTTTTGCAAGTGCATTTGGGACGACCACGCACGAGGCCAGGGGATCGGAGCTGGTGGTCGAGCTATATCCAGCTTTCAAGCTATACCCCCCATTGTCGATGATGAACGTCCTTTCGGGAAGCTTCTCCGATGCCGGAGGGGCAGCTTTGGTAGCTCGAGGGGGTTTGTTTGGAGCCATTATTGCCCTTAAAAGAAAATATCTAGACCATGCTTCTGGAAAACCTCCAACAGCTAGAGAATTATGTCGTCGTCGTTTGGATGTTGATTTTATAAAAACTTTGAAAAAAGAAAAATAACATCGGAATATTATTTTTGCCCCTCCTATCGCTTATCAGTGATTATGTAATATACTTAAAGGATTCCCGCAGTAAAATAAAAATAAATTTGATTAAACGCACCTTCGGCTGATATCGATACAAATCGTGGCAGCCCGGAGGAATATAGAAAGAAGGCAAGCCATCATGGCGGGCGACAAGAAGTTACTGGTTATTTTAGAATCAACGCTGGGGCTTTCTACGCAGTTCATCTCATCTCTCTCGCTGTCTGCTGCGTCAACCTCCAGCGCACCCCGCAGCCCCGAAGGAAACGACAATAATAAGAACCTTCCGCTTCCATTACTCTCAGCTGCCGCTCAGACCCTTAAATCGAATACTGGGAAGATATCTCTCTTCGCAATTAATACCCCCTTCACTCCGTCTGCGATTACTTCGGTTCTCACGCAAATCAATGACTCAGCTCTTCCCTCACTTGTCACAGCCGCCTTTCTCCTCCATCCAGAACATTGTACCAAAACATTCCATGCGGAAATTAACACACTGGTGAAATCGGCTCTAAGAGAATATATTACTCTGATTAATGATATCAAGAAGATTGCTGTGGAGAATGGAAAAAGCCTGACTGATGAGGATAAAGCTGCAGTGACAACTTCTGCGGGGAGGGTCTGGAAAGTATGCGACCAGCTTGTGGCTGCTTCTACAGATGGGGTTGTTGGGATGGTGATTCAGAAGGCGAATGAGTTCTTGGAGCTAGTACGTGACGGTATCAAAGAGTTGGAAGAGTGGGATCCAGAGGAATCCGACGATGATGATTGGGGGCTAGTTGATGACCTTGCCGATGAAACTAAAGAAGAAAAGGATGAAGACGACGATGAAGATCGAGAGGAGATGGTTGCGATGCTATCCGGGGAGAAGAAAGATCTCCTTCGCTTACTTACTCCCATTGCTAAGCTATACACGGCTGTAACCACACAGAGGTTAAAACCACTGAGGCACCAGCCCATCCTCCCAAAGTACGCTTCTAACCTTGATAAGCTTATGGATAATCTCAAGCAGATCCCAGACCTTGTCGATGAGGCTGCTGGATCCCTATACGAACATGATATACAAGCTGTGGCTTCCTACACAAGCAAATTAAAGAGTTGTGCCATTTCCACGGTTGAGATAGTTAAGAAGCCATGGTACCCCGAAACTGGAGTTAACACCAAAACAGACGGACAAGTTGAAGCCGAGGATAAATTCTCAAAATGGGCCACAGTTTGGCTGAATGTTCTTAACGAGTTGGGGAAGCCCGGTGTTGCTAATGGAAAATAATATAGATCCCGATCTTGTATGCGTTTGAGTCATAAGATTATAGAAGACTCTCCTCAGCGATATATTTGATATACCTTGTCGCTAGCAGCGTACATAAATCAACTACAATGGTTCAGAGCCTACCTCACCCGAAGAGAAGAGAATAATGTACAATATGTAGAATCTTCCCCCCCTCTGAAGATCTGCCCCGTTCGTAAAAGAAACAAAAGCCACCAACCATCTCATTCACGCGCTAGCCTTCCATTCTTTCATCTCGGCTTCACTGATTCGATTCTTCAAGTGGTCGAGTATCGCTTCAGTGCCCTTGGAAACAACCTGCCATCTAGGAACCCTGAATTTGTTCCCAGCAACTTCGAAACGGCGTAATGCATTCTTTCCCGGAGGGACATCATCAACTCCCAGAAGACCAGCTCTCGGGGGCAAGGCATCGATATCATTGTTGGCTACGTCAAGTACTTGCAGGCCTTCGACAGCCTCGTAGGAAAGGCTGTCAAATGCATTCTCTGAGGCAAGGAAAGTGACTAGGTTAGGGTACGTGGCGCGCATTACTGGCACAGGCCCCTTAAGACGATTTATTGAGACGTCGAGGAATGAGAGCGAAGGAGCCGAGAGGTTAGCTATAAGAGGTTCTAGGGACGTCAAAGCAGAAGAGGAGAGGGTTAAATTTTGAAGGTTCGGAAGGGATAAGGGTGTACTGAGTTCTGTGCGGCCGATGGGGTTATTAGATAAATCCAGGTCGATTAAGGAGTGGGCTACTAGGGAAAGAGCCGGGACTGGGAATTTCTCCAGGTGGTTACGTTGGAGGTAGAGACATCTGATATCGGATTTGGCGATCAAGGGTTCGATATCTAATGGCTCTAGATCTGAGAGGTTTGTCGAAGAGCGGTCAAGGACACCGCGTTGCTTGACTCTCCATGCATGAGTTATGGTGGCCGTAGGGCTTTCTGGTGCGAGTGTGAGCTCCGTTTGCACGGAACCTTCTTCCTCATCCTGAGATGGTTCCTTGACTTCACGTCGACTGTTGAGTTCTCGCTTCAGGTCATCGGTATCCATGCCGAGGAACTTCTTCTCACGGAGAGGATTATTAGATATCCGGAGAGTAACAAGACTCTCCATGGAACCGACATTATCATCAATCAACCTGATATCATTGGTAGTAAAATCTAGGTGTTTTATATTCTCCAGATCAGCCAGTCCCTCTGGCAAGGCGGATAGGCGATTCTCCGAGGCGATTATGGTCAACAAGGACTTCCATGATGATATATTAGGGAAAAACTTCAAACAATTCTGTTCTACGAACAGCTGTTGCAAGTTGGGCAACTCAATGGTATCTTCAGCAGATAGCTCATCCAGGTTATTTGTTGCAATGTTCAAGACCTGTAAGGTATCATGACGCTTGAATGCTTTTGGAAAGAAGTGGCCATCTAGTCTGTTCTTCCAAACATTGAGTTCCGTCAGGGGAAGATCCTTCATTGCCATCAATGGGAGAGAAGGAAGCCTGTTCTCGGAGACATTTAAGATCCGCAGCGCCGTTAGGTCTGCAATAGAATCAGGAAGCCCAGTAAGACAGTTCCCATGAAGATCTAAAACTTCCAGCTTGACAAGGCGTCCGATATCAGAAGTCAGCATACCGGACAAATTGTTCTCTGCAAGCTTTAGTTCTGTCAGACTCTCTATGCTGAAGACAACGTCGAGAGCATCCATGCTATCCAGTTTGTTCTTCGATAAGTTCAAGGTACGAAGCCGCTGTAACCTTCTAAGTCCCATGGGTAGACTCGATAGTTTGTTTCCGTGCAAGTCGATGTGCTCTAGGCCACCGAATTGAGCATTCGGGCCAGGTTCATCCGCGTTGAACTCAGCCAGATCCACGTCAGGGAAAGCCTCGTCCGGGAGTGAGGTCAACTCGTTGTCCGCGGCCATAAATTTCACCAGGTCGACATTTTCGTACCAGACGTCATTGCTGTTTGGATCAAAGGTATACATGGTCATGACTTCATTGGGGATAGCAGTCAGTCCCATAGCAGATATGTTCAGAAGTCCTGACTTCCTGGCCGAAGCGGTTCTACTCTGTAAGGCGGCTCCGGTAGGTTCCATACCAGGCAGCTGGTTAAACGGATCTTTCAGGCTGTCTTCTTCAAGAGCATCTGGGGATTTAAGTGATGATTCACGTTTTTGCTGTAGCTGCTGCTGCTGTGCTGCTTTGCGAGCAGCCTTTGCCTTGGCAATGCTCTCTCGGAGAGCACTGGATGACTTGGCAGTTTTCTTTGGTTCCGGTTCTTTGGGTGGTATATCGGTAGCAGAGTATCCGTCGGATGTGATAGAAGTCCTTGGTGATTGTTTCGAGGTTGTAGATGTAGGTGAGGTGAAGTTTGAAGATATGGTAGACGGTGGTTTCCTTGTCTTGGGAATAGAAAGAGGCTCAATGATGCCAGTAGGCTCTGAATCTGGGGCTTCTCCAAAGACCTGGCTTAGAGACGGCATTGTTCTCGGTTTTCGTGATATCATACTCTGGCTCTTTGGCGGTTGGCGAGTAGCTGCAGCCTTCGCAGCCGGAACAATTGGTTTATGAGGTGGCAGCGAGCTAGTTGACTCAGTCTCCTCGACATCTTCCTCGCTTGTCCTGAGCATTCCATTCCTTATTGACGCAGCTGGGGATTTTATATACATGCTAACTGACCTCTGGGCCACGGGACGCTCGCGTGACGTACCAGCCGCAGAGGGAGATCTAGGAAGCCTCGCTCCCCTTGCCGAAGGGGCAGGAGATGAAGGTGTTCCATTCAAAGACTGCCTCGAAGGTGATCTTCTAACCTCGCCGATGAAGCCGGACTTCCTTCTACCAGGCGAGGGTGATCCGGGGATCTGAGCAAGCGTCTCGATGGTCCGATCTGATAAGGAGGGTCTAGAGCCATTGCGCGAGGGACTACGGCCCTGTCTGGTATCTGCCGGGTCAAGAAATGACTCGTTCAAGTGAAACGGTTTGCTAATCGATTGAGGGCGTAACGGAGTAGTGGCGGTCGAAGTCGAGTTCGAGTTCTCATGGTGCCCGTCTAGAGGGTCCGATTCACTCGAGCAAGCCGGAGAGTAGGGCCTGTTGAAAATGTCCTCGGATGGCCGCCGAAGCCTCGATATCTTGAGACCTGCGTCTGCCTGCAACCTGTCTCTCGACGGAGACGGCCTTAGAGACCGGGAGGGCGTCGCCGTGGGCAGAGGAAGTCGTGAGAGCCGCGGGCGACCGCTCGTGATAGGTTTGTTGTCCATAGTAAGCTGTCCGTGTACAAGTAGCAAAATAGCCTCAGAGCTAGGACCAAACCATGGAACGGCTGTCAACGGTCCCTGTCTCTAGTCGAATAGCTGGTGGGAGACGCTCTGGCAGTATTCGTCGTCGCCCTGGTGGTATTAGTGCAGGACATGGAGTTGGACGGCTGGAAGTTGAAGCTCCAGGGGGTGATCAGGCCGAGCAAGGGTTGGTTCGGCAGTGATATTTAAGTATTTCTGCTAAGCAGTTAGCGAACTAGACAGACGTTGAACCCCCTTTTTTTTTCTTATCTTCTTGCATATTTGTTATCTATTTAGTTATCCACTAGCTAGCCTGGACTCTTAGTTACCTCTATCATATATCTGTTTTGATATCTGATCCCTTCGTTGGCTGAAGATGAGACGCACTTTTGACTTCTGTGCGAGGTCGAGGTAGTAGAAATTGATACCACAGCAGACAACGGCAGAAACGGAGGAAAAAAGCAGTGAAATGTAATGGACAGGTGATTGCCGGTATTTGTCTAGTCGTCTAATGCATATATCTCTTGTATTAATCCTCAACGGCGGTCGAAGGGAGCTCATAGACAGCGGCTCCCCCCCTGACGGGGCCTCGACTGCGCGACGTGAACACCACTTTTCCTATGAAATCCGGTGGGATCGCCTACCATCTGCCTTGCCCCGTAGTCTTCTTCCTCTGCATCTACTTGATCTCCTACTTTATGCATGTCATCTGCCTCTACCTCGCCGTCTTCCTCTTCGCCCTCACTTTCGCCCATCCAGCAGCCAAAAATGCACGTCACGTGACGGTTGCCCCAGCCTTCGACTTTCTTTTCCACCAAAACAACCAAAAGAAAGGCGCAAAGACGAAGACGAAGGCGAAGGCGAAGGGAAACACCGACAGCATCGACTTCATCTTCCATCGCCAGCTTCCAGGGGCCGACCAGGCCTGCTATTCACTGCCGACGCGTGTACAAGGCATTTGACGGCCGAGATATATTCACTACAGGGCGGACGCTACCTGGCACTCCCCGCTGCGGTCTTGTCGCGCAAAAGCACCTAGCTTCACCATCCTTGGAACGCCAACGCAACCAGAGCTGTCACTACCAGAATCATGGACAAACAGGGTGATACAGCGGCCAGAGACGGTCAGACTAGACCATCTCTCTCCCCGGCCGTCGAAATAGCGGTTCCGAGTACGCCGACTCCAGAACTGAGCAGCAGCAGTAGTCCTGCGCCAGACTCACAGGCTACCCAAATCCAGTCGCAACCTGACCGCGTCGACTCTGAGAAGCCCACAATACTTTCATCAGCAGCCGGGCAGTCGTCTCCTAGTATGACGCCTCCTCCATCCGTTCAGGCGCCGGCAAACGCGTCTACGCCAGCCCAACGCGCACGCTCTCAGTCGCATCCGTTTCTTGCGTCTCCCCCATCCACTGTCAACCAGTCACTGTGTGATGCGTACGGCATATCAGAACGTCTGCCTACCGTGAGTGAGATCGACGACGCTGACGAGCCCGCGCTTCGAAAGATAGCGAACGAGCTGCTTGTCGTTGCCCAGGACTTCCGGATGTCAGCAGCTCACTTTAAGCTGCAAAATAGTCTCCTCTCTCTCACTAGCAACGAGGCAGTCAAGCGCGCAGAGGTAGAGCAACAGCTTGCCAAACGCGAAGTCGAGATCCTACAGAGTGATGAGTACCGCGTTCGTCGAGGTATTGCACAGGAGGAATCAGCACGCAGCTTTCAGAACCACGAACTTTCTGGTGCCAGAGCTAGGATCCAAGACTTAGAGCAAATGAATGCTACCCTGGACCGCAGGCTTCATCGGGCAAAGCAGATCATCGAGGAGAAGTCAGACCAATACGAGATGCTATTGGAGGAAAACGGCCGGTTGAAGAAGCGTATTCGGGACAACCGTGAACACTTCACCATGATGATGGATGGCGCGTCTCTCCCATCAAGCCCCCGTACTGATATACATACAGCACAACGCAAAGCAGCCGCACAGCCACCACACCATGCTCCTTTAGAGAACTCACGCTCATTCAATGGTAAACTCGGCAGTCAGGACTTGCTGGCTACTCTTCTAGCAGCAGACCAGGTCTTGCACGGAGACAACTCACGCACCCAGACTCCTTCACAGCCCAAGCCTCGAGGACATAGAAACAACCACGGCCACACCCGTGGTGCACATTCGATGTCTTCCCTGACCCCCATATCCCACGCAAGAATGTCTGAGTCAACCCAGCCCCGTTTCTTCACTCCTGTGAACAAAAAGATGCGAGAGTCTAGGATAGCCCCAACACCCGTATCCGGCCTCCTAGACGAGGAAGATGAAGGCCGCCGTGACCGTGACAGTACTTTGTCCGCATCCGACATCGAAGCGGTCACTGACGAAGACGTACCAGCGTCCCAGGCTAGCTCTCTAGCCACCAGCATGCTTCGTCGCTATCCGGGAACTAGCCAGGAAGAGCCTTCCATCCCTACCAACTTGGGCAAATCCAGCGCCATGCTGCAGACAAAATTATTCGGCCATGTGAAAAAGGCTGGGCTTGAGCGTCCCTCTGACCACATGAAGCGCAAGAGCAGCAACTCGCAGAGCAAACCTGTCTCTCCCAAGAAGGCGAGGGGGTCAAATCCTCTTCACCTAAATGTTGCCGTCTAGCCTGCCTTCTCCTATGCTACTCAAAAAAAATTTTCCCTCCCCCGTACTTATGACTAAGCCTCGAGTTCAGTTTCTTTTCATTTTCTCTTTTGATGAATGCCTGCGGCCTCCTTGACGATATCAGCTTATCGCTAATAATGACCCAATCAATATGACCTCTGCAATGACAGCCTCAGATAACGAAGTTTGGTGGTTTTGGAGTTATTTCTTATTTCCTTGCTTTTCTTTAGTGGTCAGTGGTTTTTTTGTTTTTGTTTTTCTTCACGAGGCCCTCTTCCAGCAACTACTATGGCTTCTTCCCAAGGGCGATGATTTCTGTATTTCTGCCATTGAACCATGTAAAACGGAGATTTCTCTACTATCGGGCGTTTACTCTGGCCACAAACGATGTAACATAGCTTCAACCATCGTCTAAACAACAGTATACTTCCTTGCCGTCTGTAAAATCCTCTATTTACTGTTGGTCGCGATCATTATTTGCTTGTTGTAGCTGCTTCCGATCAAGTTGATATCGAGATGCCGCAGCTTTAGCCCGATTAGGCAGAGCTAGGGCTAAATAGCTGACTCAGCATAAGCGAGTGTAGCTGACATAAGCATCACCACACCAAAAAAGTTTCCACCAAAAGTTGAAGAAAGAAGAACTTCGACTTTTTCCACCAAAGTCGAGACACGACCATCGACAATTCAACAACCCGGGCTCTCGACAACTTGATCACCGGCCGACACAATGGTACGTCCTCTCTTCGCTTTCCTCGCTGTGGACGTTGATGTGCTCCGTGTGCTGTGCGCAGGCCGCGACGTAGGCGGAGTGAAGGTCGCAATTTGAGATGATAGATAGCGGAAGCTGACCAGGGGATTTTCGAATGTAGGCGATCAAGCACAACCAGGTTATCCCAAAGAACCGTGAGTTACTGCCCCGCTGAATGAGTGCGAGCTGCGATGAAGAGGGAAGAGAGAAAATCAAATGGATGGGAAGCGCGTGACAAACAAAGTGTTTTGAGGAAGAGGTGGAATTATTACTCGTATCGGACAGACGACTGGGAAAGCAACTTGACGATATTGCAACACCATTTCTAATTCGTGTCGTTTTGAACAGACTTCCACAAGGACTGGGACCGACGTGTCAGAGTACATTTCGACCAGGTATGATATATACCACAATGAATTGCGGGTTATGGAATGAGATGAACCGCGCCAACTAACGATAATCCCTATTCAGCCCGGCCGGAAACACAGACGTCGTGAGGCTCGTCTCGCGAAGGCTGCCGCCCTTGCTCCTCGTCCAGTCGACAAGCTCCGCCCAATTGTCCGATGTCCCACCATTAAGTACAACAGCCGCGTCAGAGCTGGCCGTGGTTTCTCCCTCCAAGAGTTGAAGGTCCGTCCAACTGTTTTTCCACCATGTTGCTGCAATCAACAAACAAAAATATCATATCTAATCCATTCCACAGGAGGCTGGTATCCCACGCAAGCTTGCTCCAACCATCGGTATCACCGTTGACCACCGCCGTGGCAATGTCTCCGCTGAATCCCTCTCCGTCAACGTCGCCCGCCTAAAGGCTTACAAGGCCCGTTTGATCCTCTTCCCCCGCAAGAGCGGTCAGTTCAAGAAGCTCGACTCTTCTGCCGAAGAGATCAAGGCCGCCAAGGAGGGTCTCGTTAAGACCATCAACTCCGTTCTCCCCGTCACCAATCCTGCTCGTGAGAACGCCGTTTCTGAGATCAAGAAGTCCGATCTACCAAAGGGAGAAGAGAATGCATACCGCAAAATGAGAACTGCCCGAAGTGACGCCAGACTTGTTGGTGTCAGAGCGAAGCGCGCAAAGGCCAAGGCTGAGGAGGCCGCTGCTGCAAAGAAATAAAATACCAGAAATAAAAGACATAAATAAATGGAAGTTCTTACGGTGTTACCCCCTTTTATTATGTTTTCTAGTCTTCTTTGCGCTCTTCCGTTTTTATAATCCCCCATTCTCAGCCTCCTGTGTCATGAATAATGCGATATCATATGACCAAATTATACGGGGTCCAATTCCTTGCCGTCCTGGAGGTAATTTATTACCTCTTCGGACCACCTTTCTTCATTGAAAGGTATAAAAATGGGGAGAGTGAACAGCCAGGTGAAGTCATGCCGGCAATGCGTGGTTTGGCCAGATGGGCTTGTATGTGGCCATGATGCAGAAATGGAAACAAATTTTCAAAAGCTGTTTACTTCAACCAACGTAGGTGGACATGTCTATGTATAAAGTAAATGTGATATTGTGTTGCAGTAGCTCCAAACAGAGAGTTGGATCATCTCATTATTAAACACTTGCCTGCTTCAATTCTATATAAGTTTAAGCACGGTCCTATGTTCATTTGTGAATGATCTCAAACAAGCCCAAATAGAATAACAATTACAGCTTCAACAGCCTTGACCAGCGACCCTATATCAACATCAACATCGCCATCGTTCCCACGTTTAATCATCGCTTGGAATACACGCTTCGCCTCCTTTTCTATTTTGCTGGCTGCAGTACCCTTCAACGAGGAGCCAGATATGCAAATACTTGGTTCCAATTGAGGCTCGCTAGTCCATAAATCAAGGGTCAAAGGACAGGATACAAGCAACTCCAGCTTATTAGGTCCTGTTGAAGTGGAAAAACGATAACTTGTCCTTTCGAAATGCTGTACCAAGTCTTTGGTAGCATACTGGTGCCCATCCATATCAGGCGTGGCGCTTCGAGATGTATCTGCTTCTCCTTGTTTCCTATAAGCTTTCTTCGCTTGTTCAAGATATCGAGGGTTTTCTTCGAGCTTCTCGGATAGTGCCTGCAGTTTCACCCAGAATTTCGATCGTGATATTGCAGCCTCCCAGTACCGACATATACCCCAACATAAACCGGATACATCGTGATCTAATAAGGAGTTTGACAGCCGAGATGCGATCCAGCCTTCTAATGGCCCAGGGAGCTTAGAATCGGTCTCGGAAATGGAGATAGAGAGCACGGATTGTCTTTCAGGGTCAGTTTTAAGGGTGAGAGGAATCTGGTAAAGCGATGCTGGAAAAGAGCCTGGTGGTTGAAGGGTGAAGTGGTATGTCTGCACTATATCTGAGGGTACTCCCAGAGCCCGTGATGGATTTCTCACAGTAGAAGTTACTGTTTCCGTTTTGAGGGTAAGAGGCGCGAAAACAGTAAGATACGGGATTGAATTTTCCAGCGGCTTCATGGCATAGGGGTTCTCAGGCAGCGGCGAGGGTGGTGGTTCAGGTTCCGACAGCGGTATTGACTGCTGGACTGTGAAAGGGAGCAGATACGAAAGCATTGAAGACAACGGTGGAGGTGCCGGCGGTTTAGGGGGCGGAGGTGCACAAGACGGATTTTTAGACAGGAGAAGCCCACTACGTTGTAAGAATTAGTATAACAGGAAGTTTGATATAGCAATATACATGGCTGTGGACACGAAACATACATTAGTCGTCTAAGAGAGCTTTCGTCCACGGATTCGTGCTCGGTAGTCTCTAACTGGCCAGCTTCCTTTTCTAAGAACTCAACTTCTTCCTTTAACCTCTCCAATTGCTCTCTAAGAGAGTCCCTGACTTTCTTCTTTTCCCGAATTTCCTTTGGGAGGTCGTCATCGGGTTCAATACCGATGCTTGGCCGTGACTCGCCAGCACTCCGCTTGGGATCAGTAGCCTTGGTGTTTTTGTTCTTGAAAATGGGATAGAATCCCTCTTTCTTAGGTTGCTGTTTCCTTTTCACGTTTGAACGCTGGCTTGGGCTACCATTGAAGTGCGCAATTGTCCCTCTCGGAGGAGGGTCTGCTTCTGGAGGAGAGAGAGATAGCCCTTGGCCAGCGTCATGGCTTCCCGTGGGGGAGTTTGACCCTGATCCTCGTTTCTCTCCAAGTGTATCTGGCGCCTTAACTATAGATATTTCTCCAGGAAACGGTTGGTCCCCAAATGACCTTCGCCTAGAACCAGGCCTTGATATCGTGCTGTTAAGCCGGGGCAATCCGTCATCCTCCTCTGGTTCCGTATGAGATGCACCCACATGTGGTCGTAAAGGTATACTACCAGATATTTGGGGCGAGCTATCGATGTGTTCCCCAAAAGAGCTGAACTCCTGGCCGGAAGACCTTTGCGCTTTCTCAGCCGCTGACCGTTCTATGACCTTCGACAAAACGTCTGGATGGTATCGTGCGAGGCTCGATCGAGTAGGCGCTTGGAATGACCGGCGGCTCGGTGATCGCGAAGGGCTAGTACGCCCGCGGCCATCTCTCCTTGTAGTATTTGACGCGCCTACAGGTATCGGGATGGAAGAGTTGGACTTGCGCCGTTTTGAGGGTGAGGGTATCATTCGGGCGCGCGCGTTCGCATCTGGTCAGCTATCCAGATAAAAAGGGCGGTCGCATATACGGTGCTTCCAGATATTTGTTCGAGATAGAAGATCAGAAGTAGAAGAAGAGCTGTTGTCTGCAATTGTCTCGCCTGTCTGGAAGCTCGTTAAGCTTGCATCTGCTTCTGTTTCTGCTTTCGAGCTATCCCTCGGCATAAACAAAAAGGGACGCGATGAGGATGGCTGTTTGCACTGTTTGCACACGCATCCCACTGGAGGGTTGAATAACACCGAAAAGGTCGCTCTTTTGCCGTACAACTTCCAAGCCAACGACAACTATTCAAAGGAACAGATGGGATCCCTATTTCTCTCTGAGGGGGGAAGGATTCCCTTTGGAGCAGCTGTATGTTCCCGATGCCTTCTAATACTCTCAGCTGGAGGTTCTCAATTCCGGGCAATACCACCTTGGAAGAAGACTCATGAGCCGAACCGACAAGCAACCACACGGTATCAACACACGGATGCGAGGAACCAAGGAAGTTCTGGTGGGAAAGTAGCAGATCAGATATATCCATTGAAGGGCTTTTACTCCGAGCTTCTTAACTCTCCGTCACAACCATTAAACCCCAGCCGAACCCCTCAGTCCCAAGCTACCAACTCAGCCACTACTGCTGCTGTAGCTGAAACAACACAATCAGAACCGCAAAGAGAACAAACACCGCAGGAGAAATTTGGAATAGTTTTTGGAACTCGACTTGCTGGGCCGGGTTATTCCTCGACACGCTATAATCCTTCTACTGCTCCCAAGTCGGCCTGGCGTACGATCAATGGGGTACCAATACCGCCACGGCCAGAAGAACCAGATAATTGTTGCATGAGCGGATGTGTACATTGCGTTTGGGATGATTATCGAGATGACGTCGAGGCTTGGGCGCAGAGAATAAATGAGGCGAAGAAACGAGATGCCCCTCGCAGAGGTTCAAAGAAGAAAAAGCACCCGTTACCTGATATGAGGCAAAGCCCACGAAGCGAAGTTGACAGTGCAAGTACAAGCATGGATGATGATGGTGGTGGAAGCCAAGCCAGTTGGAACACTGATATATCTACCGAGGCGGATGCGGATGCATTGTTTGCTGACATTCCTGTTGGCATAAGAGAGTTTATGAAAACAGAGAAGAAATTGAAAGAAAAGCGCAAGAAAAATGAAGACAAAGCCTAGGCAAAACACGCATTCCAGTGCCGGATGCTGCGCGTGTTTCTGGCTATGAGATTCTTGTATACTGTTATAACTAGAAGTTCTTCAGAAAGAACCTATCATGGCCACTAGATATCCGTGTAAATAGTTTAGACATGCTAAGATAATGAATCAGAGCGAAAAGCTCCAATATGAGTTTGTGAATAGGGCAACGGAATTTTTAATAACAGTTTGTAAATTCTATGGCTATGGTTCTTGGCGAATATTAAATGAAGTGTACGGTAACATATTATCGTAAAGCTGCATCAAATCAGGAGCTTTCCAAAAACTATTAAAGCATTAATTATATCATCATTTCGGAGGTTCATGACCTGCCTCACGCAGCAGATCCTCAAACATATCTCGAAGAGATTCCGGGAGTTCAGACGCAGCCTATCCAGGTAAGTTAGCTCAGCCATGAGTGACAATCAAGGAAGGGAAAGAAAAACTCACATTATTCCTCATTAAGCCATGAAGTAAGAACAGGGCATTTTCCCTATCCTTCGTCTTCTTCAAACGATCTGTCTTATCCTTGGCTGGCTCTCCGGGTTCTGGGCGTGAAATCGGGGTGCGTACGGTGTCACATAGACTTTGGATAACACACATGCTCTCAAGGCAATCGATTACAGCCTGAGAGCCTGCCGGATGAGATGCTATTAAAGCAAGAGCAAACCAACCTTCACTCTGAACAATGGGCCACTCCGTTTGAGTTATCATAATACCAATAGGGCGTGCAACATCCTTATGCAATTCAAATAACCGATTAACCAACTCCTCAGTTCCAGGTGGTAGTTCAGAATTTTCCTTGAGTCGCATGAGCGTACGACAAATAGCCGCTATAGTACGTCCGATCTCTGTCTTGATAGGGGAAGAATCTGTCTTGCCAAACAAAGCAAGGAGCAGAGAGAGATAAGTACGGCGGCTGGCAGGTGAGTCCGAGTCCGAGGAAATCGGTTCCAACAACCGGGTTATATTGGTGACTGACGTTAATATTGTTTGACGAGTCAGGCTTGCTGCCATAAGCTGTGCATGAGGCAATGTGTCGATTGCCCAGAGTCGAGAGACAGCTTTGATAACACCAGCCTCTCCAAGGCATTCACGGTTGTCTCCAGCTATAGCTAAATTTTTCAAAAACCCTAGAGAACAATGGAGGACAGTCGCCTTCGAGTCCTCACGCTGTAGCATAGAAATCAACGGCAAGTGAACCTTAAAATCATGTAACATTGATTTGCAGACTTCATCGTCTCGAGCAACGTTACCAAGGATAATGCAGCCGCATATCTTGAGGTCATCCTTTTCACTGCTTAGCCATGAAATCAGGGTCTCAGTCACCGAGCAGCGCAAAGGGTAATATTTTGGATAGGCGGCAAGAGCAGAGATATCGGCCAGAGAATGATTGAGTTTGAGCCGCAGGGGTCCCATAATCGAATCTTCACCTTTAAAGGTATCCAGAAAAATTGAAAGGAGCTCTTCAACATGTCCATTTATAATGCTGAGTTGCTGGAACTTATCCTTCTGGAGGTATCCATTAAGTGCGTTCAATAAGCAACCGTATCCCTCTCCGTGAGATTCGGAGCTCGATACAGCATGTATTATAAGAGGCAGCAAGTCATCGGGAGTGGTATCGATAGATTGACCTAGTGTGATCAGTCATGAGTCTTGACATATAGGACATAAGGCATGACATACTTTGCTCACTCGCCATTTCCAGCAGCTCGTAAGTGACGCCTAATAACGCGCTGCCCCTGAGTTTCCCGGTTTCTAGAAGTTTTAACAGAACGATTGAAATTCCATTTTGGGCGACTTGGGCTTGTGCAGGGACTAAAAATTGTTAGCTGGGAAATAAGAAGAAATTAGAAAGTAACTCACTTACCATAGTCGATGCAAATATTGTAGATAACGGGTATAGCAACATGAACTAAACTTAAATGAGTGATCCATTGTATTATTGGTAGGGTATAATTCATCTCTAGCACTCTTGCTCTATTTTCGTCTGTGATTGGCAACGTTAGCCTTGAACCGTTGGGAAAAAGGGGCAGTGCTAGATATTACCCGTGTCCGCGCATGAGTTACCAATAAATCTTAGTGAATGTAACAGGGTATTCTCTTCGACCTCTTCAGTGGAGATGATTCGAAGGAAGTAGTCCAAAATTCCACTTTGGCCGAAGTAGGGCCTCCATTTTGCTAGACATTGTCAGTATATATATAAACAGTCTCATACCTTAACGAGGCAACTTTACCGTCCCGGCTTGCATCTGCTAACATCTCTGCAACCTCTGCCATGTAAGTAGAGTTACTCCTCCACATCATATCGATTTGAGATAGCACCGCCTCGAGCCCATCAAGGGTTGGGCTGCCACTTCTCCGCTCCTTTTCTGCTAGTTCCAGCGAGCTTAGGAGGTTGTGTAGTTCTCCGGCATCTCCTCCTTTGAACTTCGTGCGCAGAGAGCGGATCATATTCTCTTCTTCTTCTTGAGGCAACTTGGGTAGATCCTTAGTAGATGCTGCAACAGGTGATTTTGGAGTTTGGTCATCCATCTTCTGCGCAGACTTGGAAGGGTATTTATCTAAATCTGACCCTGCTTCCTGCGCCGGGTTGACCGGTGGCCCAGCGGTGTTCTCCATGTTCTCATCCATGAGGGCTCAACTTCCTGGAGTGGATGCCTAGTTATATCAAGAACAGCGACCTAAGATGGGCCGCTTAAGGAATGGCCAATCCGCAACGACGACGGGCCGGAGTTTGACAAGGGACTCTAGCCGCCTCCCAGGATGACTCAAGGCTTCGATGCTCTAAGATGACAGCTTCTCAGTCATGTGGATACAGGGAAAGTCCTCGCAAGCGGCTAAGAATAGCTATTTAATCCAGGGTTCCAAAATCGCAAGTTGGTTAAATAAAAGCACTAGCAGACGGGTGCCTTCCAGTGGGGTTCTTCTATATGAGCTCCTCTATTCCAAGTGTATCTATTGGTGAGCAGTGGCCAGGGTGGCATTAGGCAAACGGACAAGCATCAGGCAGAAGTCGAGCAGGTGACCAAAAAGGATCCAACTCTTAAGCGCCCGCTCACCGGTTGAGCTCGTTGATGCCTGGCGAGAATGCGAGATGTTGCGACTTTCTAGATATTCAAGGCTCGTGCTCAGCGAGCTCAGCCGCCGTCAGGGGTGGTGGCTGCTTATGTAACTAGTTAACTAACACGGGATGGCTGGTCTTTTCTAGGGCTTTTCTCGGCTGCTGCCTGAGACGACATCCAAACGGCCACGGCAGCGACTGAGGGCTGAAGGCAGCCATGGAGGGGACAGGTGACATATGCCACTTAAAGATGTTAAAATACTACTTCAGTATATGAACCAGAATATGGTGGTGTCGTTTGGAGGGGCCAAAAAAATGAACACCGAGATTACCGGCGCGAGAGTTGACCTAGATTGCCCTCGGCCAGAATCGAACTGGCATTTCCAGATATCCCAGCGAGTTGTGCTCCTGAGTCATATTTGAATATGAGACTGGCGTGATAGCCGCTACACCACGAAGGCATTTTGCTTGGCCCAGAGTCGAGGGAAACCAGCCTACATTGCTATGGATATTTCGCTACATATACCAGAGTGGGGCGCACAATGACAGGCTGCGAAACAAATATGACATGGGGGTAGCCGGCTCTTCAAGAGGTGGATGGCACAAAATGCAGCATTGTTATGCGCCTGATAGCTATACCCAGTACTCCGTCCTATGGGGCCGTTGCAACCTCTACTTCGAACTATCAAGTACAATCCCACAAGCTGCCTGGGTCGAGGGTGCCAGTCCCGACATTTTGAAAGCTATAATGCAGCCCTGGACATTGAAATCTTTCATTCCCAAGAGGTATATCTATGTCTCAAGGGACTAGAATTAAACCCATCACCAGACGTGTGTTTACCCGGATAATCATTTCAGACCAGAAATCAATGTTCCAATATCTGCCGTTTGGACTCAATCTCTTAGACTACGCCAAGTATCTAACCTCAAAAGCTATGTAGATTACTTTTCAATCTCAAAATTATTCAACTTCTCCCTCTTTACTACATGTAGTCCGCAGCTCCATACAGTTCGAAACATGTGACGTGGAAACGTATCACGTGACATATTTGCGGCACCCCTGTTGCAACGGCGGAAAAGAGCATTGCAAGGGGAGAATTGCATGCCACTTTTCTTTGGTGTTATAGAGCAGAGCTTCATCCAGTCGTCACTTCTGGCTAAATACCTGGGATAAAGCTGCTACATACCCTCACTAGTATCCCAGACCGTCGTTCCTTACAGCCGCAGTCATGACACGCGCACAGCAAACTCTTTCCGTTGCTCTGCTTGTCACGTCCGTAAGTTGGGCATCATATCAATTTTGACTCTATTATAGGCATTCAAGAATAAAAAAGGACCTTACGTTAACCCTTATTTAAATTATTAGCTCTACCTGGCCCTCTACCTCGGACTGCTACCTCTGAACCAAACCATCCAAGAGGAAATCATCCCACATGTGCGTTTCCCCCTGAAAACAGTCCAACCAATTGAACCGCGGAGGAATGCATTGGCTAATTTATTCCAATCTCTCTATAAAGCTCCCGACCTACTTCCTTATGGTCTTAGGCTCCTATCTTCTCTTCAGGCTTGGCTGGGGAGTATTCACATTCAACGACGTTCCCGACGCATATAAATCCTTACAAGCAGAAATAAATCAAGCAACCACCGAACTAAGGGCAATGAACGTTGATATAGATTAAACTTTGGTAGCAGATACAATATCAGTGAAATGATTGGAATGAAGTGGGTGAATTCATGACGGTCATGGAGGGAAGACGTGAGGGGGAACTATCTGCGTCTTATATAAATTTGTATTTATATGGGTTGCTTCTTTAATATTTGCGGACATGGGACTTTTTTTTTTTTTCATGAGAACTGTTAACTAGCGGCGCTTAGGTGGGTAGATATATACTATAATTATAATTTACATGACTCTCTTTTTTCCTTAGGCCGATAGATAAGTCTTAAAGGGGAGGGTCGAGGTCCTTATCCTTATTACTGCGTTAGTTGAATTACATATCCTCAGTGAAATAGATAGGGTATATTCTGACTGCCCTTTCGGCGATGTCATGAAGGTGTATCTGTATCTATCGTTCACATAAGACGAAAGAAAATGCTCAATTCAGAGGAGAGGCCAGGGTTCGAAACCATATGAACAAATAGAGACAATGAGAGAGAAGTGACAACCATGTAACGTATGTCAAAAACAAAATCTAGATGGTTTGTTTTGGGTAGCTTATGTAGCTATGAGAGGGTTCTCTTTGGCTAGTCGGTCACGCTCGTCGATATCACTTAGAGGCAAGGGTTAGTATCCAGTATCCCGGCGCAAAGCATAGAGGTATAGACATATGAATAGGAGTGGGGAGGGGAGGGACTAACGTGGCTTCCCATGGGTAGCAGATCCAAACATCTCCGCTCGTCACGGCAGCAAGATATCGGTTCTCGGCGAGCATTTCTGGTGGAAGCTGGCCCTTCTTTGGCTTATCCTTGTTCTACGCAGCGAGGGGGTTGAGTTAGTCCTGTTTAGTTCTCCCATCTTTTTACGAATGATGACGTATAAATGGATGCTTACATGTAGGACAAAGATGGAGAATGTAGTCTTCTCTCCTTGTCGACCAAGCTGCTTCTGTGCAAGTTCAACGTCCTTCTCGAGCTCACGAACGGCGTACTCGAGGGTGGTGCGGGTATCGTCAACTTCGTCAACGATAAGAACATTCTTTCCGATCAGATTGGCCATCTCCAGCGAGCTGAGATCCAGCCATTGAGTGCGTGTGACTTTGGTGCCGGGGACCTCCTCGGGGTCTCCTCTACCTAGATCTTCGTACAGCGAAAGTCCAATAGCCTGGATAGGAATATTTGGGGAATCCTTCTTTTTGAGGAACGATCTATATTGCACACACCCCCAGTTAGATACCGAAATGGGAAAGGAAAAAAAAAAAAGATGCGTTCCATGGGTCTCAGCCAAAATGATATTGCTTCCATACCTTAGCATTCTTGCAGGGACATATCCTCCTCCGCCGATGGCAATCATGAGGTTCGGGCGGAATTCCTCGAGGATGCGGCCTGCAGAGGCCTGGCACAGTTTATGCACCTATATATTGTCAGACACATACTAAGCCTTGTCTCGGTTGTATGCTTGTGTCGTGTATGCTGGTTCCTAGGCGAGGGTATGACAACGGAGAGGAAGGAAGAGATTAAAAGCTGGCTCGCTTTTCGTCTCTCATGTATCTGGGGAGAGGAAGACAAAAGGTACTCCGAGCAGAGGCTCTCTCATTCCGTACCTGGTTGTATGTGACGTAGACTTTCTCGACCATGGTGGCTGGCTGGCTGATCCCTGGACTAGTGATCTATTGACAGACTGGTCTCCTGTGTATATACTCCGTACAACTATGCGCGAGTCTCTTCTATATAAAAACAACTGTAACGCATTAGCAAGTCGCTCAAGGAAAGAAAAAAAAAAATTGCACTCCCTTGGAGGGGCAAAATAGCGGAGTAGAGGCGCTGGTCGCCCTTTGGTTATTGCGACAGCTCTATGATCGCGGCGCAGCAGCGAGTCAATAATAACTAATTCACGTACCTGAGTTGACGCAATATAGGTATTCCACCCGCTAGCACTGGCCGATATACCGGGTCAAAAACAGACAGGGCAAAACTCCGTCACCAAGCAAAGCAAGAGTCCCTCTTGAATGTCGCTATTGCTGGACATGCGACAGCCCGCGGAGGCCGCCGCGAAGGCCTTTTGCAGCCTCGAAACTTTTTTTTTTTTAATTTCTAGCTGATTGATAAGGGCTCGAGCCCTAAGAAGCTAACTACTTAAGTATCGAGGGTACATCGACATGCCCGTTCGGGATATTTACGACCGCGACAAAGTGACGACCTAAGTACATCGACGACGACGATGGCGGTAGAGACGAGAGACGAAGACGGGTTGGTGGGGGCTGACTGTTGGCGGTGATGGGCAGTGAAGGAGAAGACGGTACTCCGTACTCTGTACTAGACAGCGGACTTGACGGGGCGTTGAGCCTTCGTCTCGAAGATGGCTGTTCATGCCTGCAGGATCGCCAGAGCGCCACGAAGAGATACGAGACGGATAGCCAACTAAGTAGTGGTCAATGCTTTGTGGCAGTCTTCGATGGCGTCGTCGCCAGTCCAGACTGGTATCAAGTATATACGCTTAACAGCAAACATCTGGACAGGCCCAACAGCGGCCGGCGCGGGATAGCTCAAGCGGCCGTGGGGGTAGGAGAGAGAGAGGGAGAAGGAGAGAGAGCTTACTTCGGGTTCTATCTAGGCATATGTGAGCTGGCAAGATCTTCCTCAGGCATACGGAGTGAGCAGGAAAAATGTCTGAGCACCGTTCCGAGACAGATGATGAAGGATGGCCCCCGTATAAGCCGATGACTTGAGCTCTCGTTCGCCGGCCAGCTAACTAGCTATGGCGATTGTTTCGGCATCTAAAGTAAGGCAACGCTTACGACGGGAGTGCCACCCACCGCCACTACTCTATCTTAACAGGACCTGTGCGACAACACTCCGTACTTTTGGTCGTGCGACTTTCATAAATCAATTATTATGCAGGGAGCAGCTTCGAGCAAGCCTGAGCCGAACTGACGTTTGCATGGGGAAGCAAAGAAAAAGGGGGAGAGAGAGGGAGGGAAAAAAAAAGCTAAGGAGCTTCAGTTACAGCAAACTGGGATGGACGGTGACAAGTTACATTCACAGGGAACCCCGCTCGTATTAGTTCGGTTCTGTCCAGCCATTGTCTTGCTGGCCTGTGTGGTGATTCGTGGTGTCAAGATGTACAGAGACTTTGACAGAGTTGAGATAAAATGATGTCGACATCCATCATCCTTACACGGAGAAGAGTAACTTCTCCAGCGCCGGCCCAAGCAAATTAATCCACCTGACTTAAGGGACAGGGATTAATTTTGTGGAAACGTGAAAGGGAAAGCAAAATAATATTCTCCAGAGAAAAAGAGAAAGCCGCCTTGTGTGAACAAGCATGTTCCTCTGCAGGTTTGTAAGTAAGTAGTCTGGGCGAAAAGCATTGCAGGGCTGCAAACGAGCTAATGAACGAACGAACTCCAGCCAAGATGTGTCAAGATCGGATGATCCCTGTGAAATCGTCCAGCGCGCGCTTTGAGCTTTTTATCTTTTGTCAAGGGTCAAGGACAGGCCTGGTCGGTCGTGACATTATCTCTGTGCATGCATATTCTTACGCAGCGTTGTCCGGGTATACATACATACATACATACATAGTCGAGCAAGCAGGTGATCTTCGGAGGGTTGCAGTCGCAAAAAGGGAACAAACGGGGTCCCTTGTCAGCTTTGAAGAGAACAAGGAATTCGATCTCCTGCGCCATCTCACACTATTTCGGACTATTTTATAGTCGAGCTCCAGTTATGGATTGGCACAAGATAATAATAATAAGTATATGCATGGAATTACTTTTAGTGTTGGCAGTTTTGCGCAGCTGGAGCGTACGACCTGGCCCGTATCCCAGGACCACGGATCCCGGGTCAAGTTCAACGAAGATAAGATGGCGATTATGACTGAAGAGGGGGAGGGGAAGGGGGAGAGAGACCTGTCTACACAGCAGCTGAGAAAGAAGGCTGGTCGCCAATTGAGTATCTGAAATCCTTTTTGCTTCAGAGCAAGCATCACACGGGAACACCAAGACGATTTTGGTGATATCAACTTCGGATGGGAGCAGTTCCTACTGGCCGTGGGCTTGGTATTTGTGCAACCGTCAAAGCTCCCAAGAGAAAGAAAAAAAGGGAGGGAGTTTGACTTGTGAAAATTTCAAGAAAGAAAAAAAAAAAAAAAAAAAAAGAACAACGGAAGGGAAAGGGAGGAAAAGGAAAAAGGAAAACGGCAAAAGGGCAAAAGGAGGGCGTCCGCCTATCGCAAGCCATCTTCGGTGGTTGAAGGGACGGGAAAAGGTGACCTATCCCATAAGGGGTGGTGACAGCTCACCCGCCCGGAAAGGAAGAAGAAACGCCCACCGGATCGTACCCACGGCGTCGGAAGCCATCCCCACGATCGGCTGTTCTTGTTCTAATTCGTGCTCTCGCCCTCTCTCTTCTCTTTTTTTTCTGGATTTCCATGGGTCGAAGGGGAGGGGAGGCGGGCGGGCTACACACCACTGGGTCTGACAAGATTCACGTCTGTCAGGGTAGGTTTTTCGAAACTTCCAAATTTACTTCCAGTTCGAGAAGTTCTACGGAACCAATCTACGCTGTTTCCATGCATGTTAAACAAAAGCTGATTACTAGACACAGCTCTCTTCCGCTCTCTCTCTCTCTCTCTCTCAGCCGTGCAATAGCGGATGGCAATAAAGGGGTGAGGGTTGATGGAGGGTGTTCAAGAAAATTGGCTGATGGGGGCGAGTTACAGCCTGATCTGACAAACCACCCCTGTCTGCTCAACGTCGAGACAAGATAGGGTTAGTTGAGAAGCTGAGGAGAGAAAGCAAACCAAAGGAGGCGAAGGAAGATAAACGGAAAGGAAACAGAAACAGAAACAGCAGCAACAAGAGGGAACAGAAAGAAAAAAAAAGGAATTCTTGCAGGCGGTGGGCTCTGAGGAAGTTGGGCCTGCAGGAACAAGGCCAGGCCAGCACACGGCCCCCCCAGGTGGGAAGAAGAACACAAGGACATATGTACATATGTACAGAGTACGGAGTACATACACGGCTGTCCCCCTCGATGCGCTTGCATGTGTCGACTGGAGCTCTTATCCTTTCGAGTGTGGAATCAATGATGCACCTCCGATGAGCCCATAATAAACCCATCGACCGATGGGGCCTTTTGGGCTCCAACTCGAAGTGCAGATGTGAAGAACTAAATACTTAAATAATGATAACATGGCTAGCTAGTTAGCTGCTGGCTGCAGGCCCCGTCCGTCTAAGCACCAACAGGGATGGGGGAGAAACGGGCGCCAGAGAAAAGAAATAGTAGCAGAGACTAGGGGAAACGACGTGACGATGAGGCCCAGAAGATCCTGCTTTTTGAGGCTTATATTTCCTATTAAATTATGTATATTTTTAAAAGAAAAAGCTTTTCTAGGTAATCGTTCATGGAATTGTACGAAGAGTGCAGGCAGGCAGGCAGGCAGGCAATATAACTGACTAAACTAACTAACTAATGATTAATGTACGGCATCCAGCTGGTCGAGAGTTATTATTATGTTACTGACCAATATTAATCCCCCCGTGTATAACTACAGTTAAGTAGAGGCACCGGCGAGAAGTACCTTTTCCTTCCCTCCTGCGTCTCGTCTCGTCTCGTCTCATCGTCTCATCGTCTCATCGTCTCGAACCGCTTCTCGACAGCTTCTCGACTGTTTCATCTTCTGCTGCTGCTGCTCTTCCTGTTATAAATAGTTCCTCTGCACAGCTCGCGGCGGCCCCCCCTTGATCCCTGGACGTCTCTTGTCTGTCTGTCTGCCTGTCTGCCTCTTCTCACTCCCCCTGGTATCCCAGTCCCTGTCCAGTCCTCCTCGTCTGCCTGTCCGAGGGACAATCGGGGTCTAAGAAGTACCATCGAGCAGTGCCATGCCAGCGGTAAGTATCCTTACTTAGGTGTTGATGCTGTCCCCGTAGAAGAAAGACACAAGAATAATACACCAGCCAGCCAGCCAGCCAGCCCGAAGAGTCTCAGCCGGAGTAGTTAGTCCTCTTGCTCGCCCCCAAGGGCCATCATCTCCTGAAGAACTCTGGCCGCCCCCTTTGCCTCCTCGCTCTCCTTTTTCACCATCTTATATCTGTCATTTTCTTTTCTTTTCTTTTCTTCTTCTGCTTCTTCTTCTTCTTCTTCTTCTTCTTCTTCTTCTTCTCTTCGTCGTCTCTTCTACTCCTCTTCCACTGACACTGGCGGCCGCCCCAAAACAGCACCAGCAGCCCGTCGACCCCCGTTGAAACAGCGCTCCTCGAGTCCTGCAAGTCCTGCGAGTCCTGCGAAAGGCGTCCCTTTGATCCGTCCTGTCTCGTTCTCGCCCGTCGTCGCCGTCTGCGGTCGTCGCGGCCCTGCTGCAAGGCTCGCTGCAGCTCCTCCTGCGCAAACCTCCCGTCGCCGCCGCCAGTCCGCATCTCCAACCACCAAAAAATCTCCACCACCACCACCGCTGTCTAGCTAGTTAGTTACCACAACGTCTGCCAACGGCCAGTCACAGGCCACAGCACAACTTACAACCGCCGGACACCCGCGAATGCGACGCTCCTGGCTGCTCCTCTGCGATAGCCGCCGACTGCTTCCCCTCTACGGCTCCACCAGCTCCAGCGTGCCCATCGCCGTCCCCCACCCAAAGCCGGCCTGCGACAGCCCTTAACCCCTGCCCTTAAGTCAAGGACTCGGCCGGGGGGGAGGTCGCCTTTCGTATACTCCCTCGAGTCAAAATATCGTCTCCCTGCACATCGCTCTGCGCAAGCTTCCCCGGACTCGAAGCCTGCTCGTTCTTCCCTTAGCCGCGGCCGCTGCAGCTGCGCTCGCTCGCTCGCTCGATCGCCCGTTCTCCGTTTGCCCTGCTCCGGCCCTCGCCCTCGCCCTCGCCCTCGCCGTCTCTCGCTTACGGGGTTGGACGTATAACGGTCAGGCAAGGCCGTTATCCGTCTCTCCAAACTGTCCTGCGAGAGAGAGAGAGAGAAAGCGTCTTGCGATACCGGCCGGTTTTAGTTCTCCACACTACTACCTATACTACTCCCTATACCTACTACCCTTCTACGACCGTCACTCTGGCGCTCTCAACTTCTTCTCTGACCATGAACCGCATGCTCGATCCCCCCCTGCGAAATCCATTTCATGCGCCTCCCGTCAGCGACCTCACAGCGAAATCAAGGACTATACCACTGCTCTCCCCTTCGGGCCCCGCAGGCGACTCTGTCAGTCCCAGTGACCCCATGGACATGAGCCCGTCTGCCTCGACCTCGACCTCGACCTCGATGGCTCCGCCGCTCCAGAACGGTGCTGATGCAGATGCTGCCAACCCCAACAATGCCAATTCCAACGCCGATTCCAACTCCAATGCCAATAATGCCAATGCGAATGCCAATGCGAACCACACAAACGGCACAGCTATGGACTCCGCACAGTCGCAATCTACCAGCTCGAACCACCCAATTGGTGCTGCAGCTGCAGGACAGCAACCCAAGGTCGTCCAGACGGCTTTTATCCATAAACTATACAGGTTTGACCCCCTCTTCCCTTTTTCATGATGTAAAACTACTTGCGGTGATGTGCGCGGACCTGCTAACGGCTATTCTACAGTATGCTGCAGGACCCCAGCATCCAACATCTGATATCGTGGTCAAGCTCCAACGAGAGCTTCGTCATGTCTCCTTCGTCGGACTTTTCAAAAGTCTTATCGTACGTTCTAGCGATTTCTATACATATGATTGTGGATGGTTTCAAAACTAATTAAGATGTATAGGCAATATTTCAAGCATACCAATATATCATCATTTGTCAGACAGTTAAACATGTATGGCTTCCACAAAGTGAGCGATGTTTTTCACACAGGGTCTCCAGACTCGCCAATGTGGGAATTCAGACACGGAAATGGCAGCTTTCGAAAGGGTGACGTCGCTGGCCTCCGAGACATCAAGCGGAGAGCTTCAAGACATGCGCTGATCCACCGAGACTCTTTCTCAACTCACAAGGCCAATCAGTCACAGCCGGGTACTCCCGCGGAGGCAGCCATGGACGGTTTGGACCCTAGAATGGCCAGTCTGGAACAATCCTTGTATGACATGCATAACCGCCTGGCGCGGATGGAGGATCACAACGCGCTTCTAAGCTCACATTGCCATGTCCTCGCTGAGGGTCTGGCCAGATGTCATCAGGTGAGAGACTTACACCCACTAACCCTTCATTTTTTTTGACCTATCTACTAACCTTCAATTCGATAGTGGACAAGCACGATGTCCTCCTTTATCGTCACCATGGTTCCTGATACCGAAAATTCTATACACAAAGAAGGTAAGTTTTGCATCCCAGATACCAACAACGTCTAGAAGTATAACTAATGTTTGATACTAGCTGCAAACATGCAACGTGAAATAACCCGGCAGCTGGAGTATATCCGGACTCTAGAGAACCCCCAGGAAGCCATGCTGGCAGGTCGACAGCCCTACTTCTCCATGTCCATGGACCCTGGCCCTCCCCCACTCTCCCCGCGTCAGGTATGCCAGGATGACGGGAGACGGCCGTCTGGAATCCGCCATCCCTTACCACCCCATATCACCATCTCACCGCACCGTCAAGGCTCTCTCGGCGGAAACCCGACTCCGATCTATAGCAAACCCCAGATCCCGCACCAATCCAACCTCCATCCCCTGTCATCAGTCACGTCTCCCCCAGGGCCCAACCTTGCCCGCCGACACACATCAGCAGACATCAGACAGCACGGTTGGCCCCCATCGGCAGGTCCCTCTCCCAACTCACAGTATGGCCCCAACCCATCCATGCAGTGGCCTTCTTCACCAGGTCGAAACCACAATTCCTCTGACCAGCACGTCCGAGATGCATTGGCGCGGTATGAGCTTGGTGGACCACGACGGCAGCAAGAACAATCCAGACACGTTACGCCACCCTTTCTTGACCCAGCCCAGCCGGACAATGGCTGGGCTATTGGAGGGCCCAAGTTCCCGCGTCCAGTAGAGTCAATGCCCGCCACCCGTCGATCAAGCATGGCGAGCAACGTACATTCACTGCTGAACCCATCTAGCGCAGCTGAGCGGGTAGATGACCCGGATGGCCCACTTGGAGAAGACCGCAAACGAAAGAGGCTCCAGTGACGAGCCAGCTTTCTTTCCCTTCCACCATATATATCAGTTTTGTTTCGTTTTTGTTTTTCTGATTGTTTAGTTTTCTTTTTGGTTTGTTCTCTTCCATCTCTATTATACCATACCAGAAAGCCATCTTGGATCCCTTCAAGCATCCCTTTTCTAAAAGTGAAAAAAATACCCATTTGCTTTTACAGCCTTCGCCATAACCAGCTTACTGTTATTGTGTTTTTCTATATATATCTCCTACTTCTTTCCCTTTTCAATTTGCCATGCATCGATAACAGACGGCGTCCTCTCTCTTCTTATATACCACCAGCTACCCGTCTCCGTCAACCAGGCTGTTTCTTTCCGGCGTACACGATATATACATATATCCATCTCGTTTACTCTCTTATCTCAGTTTACCGCACTCTACTTTTTTTTTCTCTCTCTCTCTTTCAATCCACCCTTCTCCATTCATTCAAATCCCCTTCTGCCTGTCTATCTCATTTACCTCAGGCTCTTCACGGTTACAGGGTGTTAGGTCGGACGGTCCCCTTTCTGTTTGCTGTACAGTAAAGCCATTGGGAATGGGATTTACAGCTCCTAGTCTAGGCTTTTATATGTCTTTCTTTCTCTTTGGGAGGAGGCGGAATGGTAGGAGGGAGGTGTTTTTCTTTTTTGGATGGATCCAGCATTTGTGCAGAGGCATGCATATACCATGGCATAGGGAGGTAGTTGTAGCTATTTTATCCTTAGTTAAATGTGCAAAATGGGAAGCTTTTAGCCCAGAGACTCCTTTAATATCCAGTCCCTTCCAGGCATGTTAGGAGTAGCTATGGTGTCTTTCCAGCTATGTCTCTATGTCTCCAATGCTATCTCTTACTGTAACATGCCGAGAAGGGACCTTCCCACTTGTCTACTAGCAGACTTCCTGAGTATAAATATCTTCTTCAACAAACAAACAAAGCTCATCCTGCATATTTTCTACAACCTCCATTCAAATATTCTTCAATCCATCTACGCAGCTACCAAATTGGCCCTGCGTTGGGCTATACATTGCTAGCTATAACCCAGAACTCTTGGCGTTGGCGAGGTTAATTTTGGGTGTTCAGGGATGAAAGACTCACTCTCGAACTCTCCGCCCAGCAAGCTGCAGAAGGCGAATACCATAGGCCAATTGGACGATGTAGGCGGAGGATATACCTCAGATTCAGCCGGGAGTTCGAATGACAGTTTATTCTTCAGTGAAACGTCGAGATCGACCAAACGCCAGCGCCAGATGGCGACGCGGAAGAAGAACTCAAACACGTCAGAGACACCAGAGAAAGGAGGCAAGAAGAGAGTCGCGTCTGCTTCGGCAGCGAGGCAGGAAGTGATACCAGAGAAGAGGCAGAAGACCGTTGAGCCTGTTGAGCCTGTTGAGCGTGTGGACGAAACTGCGGCTTTGCCCGTCAGATCAATGTTTGTATTTTGCTTTCTCTTATAGTCCTTTGTTTACATATTTTCTGGTTTCGACTACATATTTTTTTTCATATTCTTTCTAGACCTAACTACCATGAGAGAAACGCAAAAACACGCTGACAAGATGAATAGGAACCCGTTCAAAACCACAGTCCGGTTCATCATCGGGCCAGACGAGGAGGAGTTCCAGGTTCACTCGTTTTTGCTGGAATCTACTGGGCTCTCAGGATTCTTCGACTTGGGAAAATCTACAGGTCCAGTCAAGCGTCCGGACCTAGATTCCAAGGCATTCACAGACCTGGTGGAATGGCTGTATGGCGCCCACATGCGGCCTGGAGTGGCCGTGGACACGGCTGCAAAGTACAACAATTTGATTGATTTGTACTCTATTGGCCAGAAAATGGGAGGAGAAAGCTGGATGAGGCTGGTCATGAAGCAGATGCTCGAACTATTCGATCAGACTGGGAGAAAGGTCCCGGCAGAGCTGGCTTCCGTTGTATACGAGAAATTCGCCTGGGGAAGCGGAATGAGACGTCTATGGGTGACCTTGAACGTCGTTGGCGAGATGGAGGGAGAGTGTGCCAATGTTGACTTTCTGCGAGATGTGAACCGGATGCAACGATCCGTGATACAGAAGGAAAAGATTGATATGGAAAACCTGCTGGAGCCTTTCAGGCAGCAAAAGAAGCCACCGGGCCCAAAACCACAACCCGTTTCTGGAGAGTCATCAACATCGCAGAACGGTACGACAGCCCAGCTTGCTAAAGGACTTGTTGAAAAGCAACGCCAGCAACAGGAGAAACAATCACAGCCGCGGTCACAGCCAGAAACCGCATCTCAGCTAAACGGAGAAGGGAGGACACAAGCTAGCTCGGCATCAACACCACAGAGTCAGCGGAGCCAAAAGAGCCGTGGTCTCACTACCTGTGAGGATCTACTGAGGAAGTTCCAATCCGGACAACCAAAGGATGATGCAGCATGATGGAATGACGGATCATTTTCTCCCCTTCTTCGATTTTCTCCGTGACAGAACCTCATCCAAATAACTACTAGCTCTCTTTTTCCCACCAGGATCCGCCCCTGAAGCAGCTGGGGACTGGTCACTAGAAGATTTCCCTTTCTTGCCTTTACCCAACGCTGACCTGCCGTCTTCCTCGTCACTTTCCTCGACTATCTCTTTTTTCTGGCTGGGGGTTGGACCGGTCTGTTTGGTTCGGGCGTTGGCGTTTTTCAACCTTGATGCTTCGGTCTTTTGAAAGTTTTTGCCTAATAGCTGCTCCCGAAGCTTGTCATTAGAGCTGAGTTCAGTTCGTTTGATGCTGCCGTCAGCTTCTTTCTGCGGAATAGGAGCTCCCAGGCCCAGTCTACCAAAACGCACGAAGTCACAAAATTAGCTTAGAGACCTTCTACATTTTACACAATTAAAAGACACAAAAATACAAAGACATCCACACAAGCTGCTACTCACTTCTCCGGGACTGCTGTGAATATCTCATCTTCCTCCTTCTGGAGCTCTTCTTCAGACTTTGCATTGGCTGTTTCATCGGCCGTTTTAGGAGGCAGCCAGGATGCGATCAGTCTCTGGCTTCTCGCAAGAGCAACGTTGGCTCTGTTGAATATCACATCCGCCTCGGAGCTCGTAGCCGGCATCTTTCTCCTTCGTCTTTCCTCTGCCGCCCGTTCAGCTTTCTGGTAGTCCCAAATCCTTTTGATATCAAAACGAAATTCGGCAAAGTTGAAGAAAGCAAAACAAGCATTTATTAGGCTCGTAATTATCGTATTGATATTTCAGTACCGCCCACGCTCTTTTTTGCGGTACCCGGAGCAGATCGGGCTGTATTTGTATCCGTATTACCGCGCTCTACCACGTTTCCGATTTTTTTGCTTGTTTCTTCTTTCGACTGCAACTTCGACTTTCTTCGTCTCCTTCGACTGTCCGGACACCATCGTCGACTCGACTTCTTCCTCCTCCAGCTCTCCTCGTTCCCTCGCAGCATCGCCTGTCTCTCTGTACTATAAACCCTCTTCGTTTGGACGCCCGGTGCCGATTCTTCAAGATGTTCAAGCTCGCCCGTAGCAAGCCAATTGCTGCGGCTTTCAGATCCGCCGTCGTGAGTTCCCCGTTCCCGCCTGCATCGAGCCACAGCCATTGTATCTCGACGGGCTTCCTTTCACGTCTGGATGTCCACGGAATGCTAACATGTTGGACCTGTGATGCCTGTAGGAGTCGCCTCTTCGCACCAGATTCGCTCAATCGCAGCGAAGGAACCTCTCCATACACGAATACCTCTCCGCCAACCTTCTCAAGTCTGTTAGTATTGGCCAGCTGTAGCTCCCATTATCAACCAGCAATACATTAGCTTTTGTCTAACGCGCCCGTGATTGCTATATAGTATGGCGTCGGTGTTCCAAAGGGTGAAGTTGCCCGCAGCGGCGAAGAGGCTGAGGCCATCGCAAAGAACATCGGTATATTTACCTCCGCCTGACCTAAAATTTAACTAAATCGGAAAAGAAGAGACGACTAAGGATATGATGTATGTAGGTGGTGAGGACATGGTCATCAAGGCCCAGGTCCTGGCTGGTGGCCGTGGAAAGGGTACCTTCGACAATGGCTTGAAGGGAGGTGTCAGAGTTATCTACTCGTATGTGTTCAAGCCCAATCCTGTCGATGCTGGCCGTTTGCGGCGTCACAGAGCTAAACTAACCTTTTCTCCAGTCCAACTGAGGCCCGCATGTTCGCCGACCAGATGATCGGCCACAAGCTGATAACCAAGCAGACCGGTGCTCAGGGCCGTCTCTGCAACGCCGTGTACATCTGCGAGCGCAAGTTCGCCCGCAGAGAGTTCTATCTTGCCATTCTGATGGACCGTCAAACCCAGGCTCCAGTCATCGTCTCCTCCTCCCAGGGTGGAATGGATATCGAGGCTGTTGCTAAGGACACCCCCGATGCCATCACCACCACCCCAATTGACATCCACACTGGTGTCACTGATGAAATTGCTCGAAACATTGCCACCGGTCTTGGTTTCTCTGAACAGTGCGTTCCAGAGGCCGTCGAGACCATCAAGAAGCTCTACAAGGTCTTCATGGAGAAGGATGCCACTCAGATCGAAATCAACCCTCTCTCTGAGACCTCTGACCACCAGGTTCTTGCTATGGATGCCAAGCTTGGCTTCGACGACAACGCCGACTTCAGACAGAAGGAGGTCTTCTCCTGGAGAGATACCACCCAAGAAGATGCTGATGAAGTCAAGGCTGCCGAGTATGCTCTTCCATTTAGCCCCCAATACCTTATTTGCAGCTCTAACTTTTGCTTATAGATCTGGCCTCAACTTCATCAAGTTGGACGGAGACATTGGCTGCTTGGGTAAGCCCATCTTCAATACTCCCTACCTCTCATCAACGAAGTACTAACTCTTCGGCTATCAAGTCAACGGTGCTGGTCTCGCCATGGCCACTATGGACATCATCAAGCTTAACGGTGGAAGCCCTGCCAACTTCCTTGACGTCGGCGGTGGTGCCACCCCTGCTGCTATCCGATCTGCCTTCGAGCTCATCACCAGCGACCCCAAGGTCACTGCCATCTTCGTCAACATCTTCGGAGGTATTGTGAGATGTGATGCCATTGCTCAGGGTTTGATCAATGTCGTCCAAGAGATGAACCTCCGCACCCCCATCGTCGCCAGACTGCAGGGTACTAACATGGAGAAGGCTCATGCTTTGGTATGTCTATCCTACACCTCAATTGAAACAAGGTGACCACTTTCCCTAACTCTATACTATAGATCAGCGAATCTGGCCTCAAGATCTTCTCCATTGAGGATCTCCAGGTCGCCGCCGAGAAGTCCGTCCAATTCTCTAAGGTCGTCAAGATGGCCCGAGACATTGATGTCGGCGTTGAATTCACCCTTGGTATTTAAATCACGGACCACCAATTTGCGACCTTTTTGCATCCTTCCCCTCCCTTCTTGTGTGCCTGAGCCCTTCTCGCCGGGAGTGAGGGAAGGCCCAACGAGTCAATCTAGGCGTATGCTCCTTACTCAGATCCCTAACATGCCATACTAACCGTTTTTACTCCTCCTGTCGCAGAAAAAGAGCATTAGGTGAACCCACGGCCCCCTGTTTGAAGTTATCGGTCCATATGTCTTTTTTTTGCTTCCCCTCCCTTTCCGTCTTGTGTCACTATTTTTATTTTAGCACGTAAAATGTGGGTTCAGTGTATACGCCACATGTTAATCTATAGAAGGACTCATTTTTTTTTTTCTTTGGAAATCTGTAACTAGTTATATATAAGGATATGTAAGAGGAGAAAATATTGATTGTGGATGATGACCCCGAAGCTTAAGAAATCTAGCTGTAGAGCTTAACTAGTGATACATTACAAATTTCCAATACTCCCTCCATCACCGTTCTTCCTGTATCTGCTACTCGACAGCCTGGCGTCCTTAATTGAATATTATGGCTAGTATTTCAATTTTCTCAGGTTGAACATGCGCCCGAGGACGAAGTTGAATGTTCCAAACCATAAGAATGCGCCAGAAAGCAGATAAATCGGGGTAACTTTGCTGCCAGCCCAAACCCATTTTCTTGGGCTCACACTCCACGGCCATAGCCAACGCCATGGAGCCGGCCCATAAAGCACCTGGGTGACTACCCGACGAGCATATACTTCGTTAGGCGTGGCGCCATCCTGGCTGTGCACAACTCTTCGTTCATATTCGGACCGAATAGGATGATAGAGAGAGTCTGGCACCAAACGACGTGGTGTACGTGCAATCCGAGACTGAACACCGCCAGTTATGATAGTAACGACTTTGACACTATTACATTCAGTTAGTGTCGGATATTATCCGGATATATGCGGAGTGTAGCCAGCTGTACGTACCCAAATGGCTCCAGTTCCACTCTGAGTGTGTCGCTGTACGAATGCAATGCACCTTTCGTGGCATTGTATACAGAACCGAAAACATAGGGGATTATCTGTCAAATTATTAGACGGTTTTTTTCAACTCCTTGGAAAGCATGTCTTACCCCGGCAACAGATCCAATCTGCACAATGGTGCCTTTTGCTTCGATTATGAGTGGCGTAAACACCTTGCACATATGGATCACTCCTATAATGTTGGTTTCGAACGTCTGACGTACTTCGTCCATGTCAACGTCAAGTGCTGGAACCGTATAGTCTTCGAAATTAATACAATTAGCCCAGGAAGCATAGAATAGGAGAAAATAATGGCAGATGTACTTCGACCACTAGATACAGTTATTAGCAAAGACTGAAAGCAAAGAACCTTTTCCTAATAGAATTACTTACGCATTGTTGACTAGAATATCTAGCCCTTTGCTTTCGCCTAACCTGGACTTGACTTCGTCAAAGCATGCTAGGATACTCTTTTCGTTGTCAACCACCAGGTCCAAGGCCTCAATTCCCTTCTCTTCGAGGTCCACGAGCACCTCTTTATTCCTGGCAGTTGCAAACACTCGCAAACCATTGCGTTGGAATTCAAGAGCGAGGGAATGGCCAATACCTCCAGGCGAACAGCTAAAGGAGATGTGTTAACTCCTCTGCTATCACCAGACTGGGATTTAGGTACTCACCCAGTTATGAGGACTGATTTACGGTTGTCTGGTGAAGACATGGTGGTATATTATTGTTAGTCGTGCCCTCAGGTGATATAAATGTGTATTTTGTACTGCAACTCTCCTATGTTAAAAGTGAAAAAGAAGATGTGAAGTTGTAGTTGGCGTGGTGGACCTTGGAAGCTGTGAAGTCATAACAAATAAACTTGCCGAGGCCAACTAACGGTAACCTAATTAACACTTAGTTAACTAGTTAGTTAATCCAACGTCGACAACTAGTCAATTAAACTACTTCTTAGGGCCAGCATCATGAGATTGCTTTCTTGTTACCAGCCTTTGCTAGAGGCCTTCAATTGTGTATACTGCAGCTTCAAGTTCATCCAGCAGGTCCAAAGCAGCAATATCGAAAGGAGGAAACGAATGCATAAAGAGGGTACCGCAGATACCTGCTTTCATATCCAACCACTACATATCGAAGAATTAGGAGGTGACACATTTAAAAGTAGCAGCTAGATGTCGAGAGATAACGGAAATCACATACCCAGAAGGCGTTTGCAGCCCCAGCCCAGGAGATAGATCCTGGATAACGAGCACCCGGGACTCGATCCAGGTTGATACTCGCAGACAGACCCATATCAATCATCTTTCCTGGGTTAACAAGGCGACTCATGATCTTTGGGCCGCGGTCTCGAATTGCGTTTATTTCTTTATTACACTCGAGCTGGGAAGAAAGGATTGTGTTGATACTCTCGGGTCGCAGCACGTTCTCACCACTGCGAAGTATCATCTGCAAGAATCTGGTAAATTCCTTGGGCGTCGAGTATAAACCAATACCGCCCAAATCATCCTTCGCTGGGATTGTGTATGGGACTGGAGTCATGGATAGGCTCCCATCTGGTGCTCGCTGACAAAGTTCAACACGTCTTGCGTTGAACTCAGGATGATTTTCAGGATGGAATGTGGTTGCCGTGATACCGAGTTTTTGAAAGATATTCTCTTGCATGAAATCCCCGAGCTTCTGATTTGAAACTTTTTCGACTACACAGCCAGCCCAGTCAACTCCAGGGCCATAGCCCCAGGATTTTCCCGGCTCAAAAGCCAAAGGCAGGCGGTACGTTTCCTATAGAAGGTGAGGTTCTCTTCTCAAGCATAGTGCATCTTCTAATGGTTATGAATAACACTAGACTTACCCTGGATGTTACATCAGTGGTAGCGGTGTGATTGTGATACTCCGCCCATCTCTTGACAGATGAATTGACAGCTAAATAGACGAACCCACTAGCGTGAGTTAACAGTCGTCGCAAGGTGACCGTTTCCTTAGCTTTACGAAGAATGGGTTTCCCTACCAGCGCGGTCAGTCTGGTATATGCGCCTGTGGAGATGAATAAACATACCATTATTACCATCTTCAAACCCGACGATTATATCTGGCTCAGCCAGCTCGGGTAAGATGGCCCCGACGTCATCATCCAAGCCTACTAGCCCCTTTTCAACAGCAACCATAACAGCAACAGCCGTGACGATCTTAGTCATAGATGCGCACCAGAACATCGATCTTTCCGTCACAGCATCCCCAGACCCATCAACGTTTTGAGTGCCATAGGGAATAGAATGTAGTACCTGGTCTAGAACCCCTTTAGTAATCATAATCATCTCGACTATCCAGAATTTTCCCGTCCTACCTCTATTAGCAGCCGTAAAAACAGCTGCATGAAACCTGCAGTCACTTTTGGAGCAGGTACGCTCCAGTATATGGGTCAAATCCATTGTAAATAGCTGGTGCTCTGGTATCAAGAAGTTATAGTGAAGGAGTAACTCTGCATGATCCGGTCCGAGGGAGTACACCAGTCTTGTTATATAGTGATCTCCAAGGTGGAAGTCAAAATATCTGGCTTATAGACTCATTGCCCGGAGTCCTTATTTAGCCATATTTCGTACTTGTGAACTTGCACGGGCATGCGGCTGCATGGTCCCGGAGTACGTTTTGGGCTAAGTGGAGCTGAGGCTATTAATAGCAGGTGAAAAGATGTTGGTTTCCCGTGGGTATAATACTTCCAAGTGATCTGCCCTATCGAGTGTGTGCATAGAAGACATTCATAAAACGAGGGAGGCTGTTCCCCGAGTGTCTAGCTGTTAATTCACAGCTGATGAGACAGGCTGTTATCAGTGAGATTGATGTTGTTGTTCACGGAAAAGGCGGGTTTAGACTGTGTGGCTGCTTTTAGGGTCTCGGCGTTTATCAAGCGGAGACTGGCCTGGCCGCTTTAAGCTGTTCTTGCAGGTAAAATTAAGCTCAAAGACTGAACAAGCGCCGCCTAAGCCACTACTAGTAAGTCGAACTTGCATTAGGCGAGCTTGCAGCGCCGCCCAGTCAAGATGCCAATATCACTAAGTACTAAGTATTGAGCCTCAAGCTAAGAGTAATGACTAAGAGAAGACCAGGTCAGGAAAAGGAGAGAGTTTAAAAGGAACTTCATGTTAATCCATTGGTATGTACATAGATGGACGAAGCTACCTGATTAAGGAAAGAAACGAGGCACAGCCGTCAAAACAGTAAGCTATTTACAAGTCGAAAAGCTTCGACCATTGCTCTTCATATATGTTCAAGGGGAAAGAAAGAAAGCCACTATGAGGGGAAGTGGTTTACTCATGAACTCTCCAGTCAAAAGCAAGCTTCCAAGGAAGGTTACCCGCTTACATGCCGGATCCGTTGTTGATGAGCTTGCTGGTGGTGCTGGCGCCGGGGTTCTGGATGACATCGATGGCCATCTGCTTGATGGTGTCGCAGAGGCCGGGGCCACCGCCCTTGCCGAGGCCAATGAGGTAGGCACCGAGACCGGCGACGTGTGGGGTGGCCATGGAGGTACCAGAGAGGACCTGAGATCCACCACCTGGCTTGGCGGAGGTGATGGAATCACCGGGAGCGTAGACATCAACTGGAATTTATATTAGCACTGTTTCCTTTTGTCGCCTCTAGAGGTGAATGAATGGAATATACATACCAACTTGACCGAAGTTGGAGAAGTCGGCCTTGCCGTCCTGCTCAGTGGAGGCAGCAACGGTACAGATGGAGGGCTCGGAAGCTGGGGAGGAATCAGCAGCATCGACCTAGAGATATGATGATTAGCACAATGGACGCAGTATATATGTTTCTGAGACGGAAGGCGCTTACGTTGTCGTTACCGGCGGCAACAGCCAAGAAGACACCACCCTGAGCAATTGCTGCAGCGGCGTCGTTGGAGGCCTGGGAGAAGGCACCACCAAGAGACATGTTGGCGACAGCCTTGTCGGCACCCTTCTGCTGGGCGTCCTTGGTAGCCCATTCCATACCCATGATGACACCAGAGTTGGAGCCAGAGCCGTTGCAGTCGAGGACCTTCACGGCAACGACGTTGCTCTTCTTAGCAACACCGAAGGTCTTACCACCAATGGTTCCAGAGACGTGAGTACCATGGCCGTTGCAGTCCATGTCCATGTCATCAACGAAGTTTGCACCCCAGGTGGCACGGCCCTCGAATTCCTCGTGCTGGATATCGGTACCGGTGTCAATAACGTAGGCAGTGCTGCCCTCGCCAGCAGTGCCGTCATAGTAGTAGGTGGTGCCACCGGGCTCCTTGGAGCCGACACGGGCGAGACCCCAGGATGGAACGTTGTCCTGCTGTTCAATAGCGTTGATTTGGACGCGGGCATCACGCTCAATGTATTTGACCTAGAAACACTGTGAGTTGATGGTATTCATTTAGGGAGACATAATTGATGCGTACATCAGCGCGCTTGGAAATCTCATTGATCATCTGCTCATCGAAGTGACCAGAGTATCCCTTGAGGCCAGTTGGGAAGCGGTAGGTGTGCTTCATGCCACCCATGGCTTTGGCGCCACGGCGAATCAAACGGCGGCGGTGGGTGCGGTTAACCCAGGAGCGGTGGGAGTCGAAGTCCTTGTCGGTCATGCCATCGTTCATGACAACAATGTACTTATCAGCGAGGGTCTGGACACCAGCGCGAGTCTCCATGATCTCAGCGCCGTTGATGACAGATGCCGCCGCCAGGGCGAGAGGGATGGCCTTGGTAATGAAACCCATATTGAATGGTAACCTTTGTGCTTTTGGCTGGTGAAGAGGGAAGGGTGAAGGCAATTGATTGCTTGGAGAGAGGAAGGAGAGAAAAAACCAGAATTCTGGCGGGAGAGGAGGGCCTTGATATAGATTTTGGGAATTGGGGTGTAGCTTCTAGTCATGTCAACCAAAAGGTGCCCATTTAGGGGAATTATGGGAGCTCCGTTAGCGGAATCGCTTGGCTGTCGTCCTTTCACTTCCCCATAAGCACGAAAATTGGGTACCAATTCGCCGGCCTTCGATATCCCTGGCATCGGAGTGCCCAGGCAAGGCGCTTCTCGAAGGGCATGATTATGGTGTCCTGAGCTAGCTGGTTAGGCTGTGCTTTTGATCGGCATTCATCTCGTCGTATCAGGAAGCAGTGAGAGAATAGAGAGAATATGCAGCCGAAGGTATAAGTCATCTGGTAATTCTGATATTGAAGCCGGAATGTAACATTCAGCGAAGATCACTAAAATGGGGAGGATGAGGCCGGCTGGTTTCGGACTCCCTATTGCTCGCTGCTATGTGGTGGGTCGGGAGAGCATGTATAGATACAAATGTTGAAGCACCGGAGGACATCCGTAAAGGGGAAGAGATGAGACGATAGTGGGCACGAATGAGGCTTTGGGATTTCGGAGGCCCTGAGAGCGCAGATCCGCTTCTTCAAGAGAGGAACGGTGGGTGTGGATTGGCCCCCGCATTCTGATAACCATGAAAACACGGTTAAATCAAGGACGGCAGCATTATCACACAGAGAATTGGCGGGCAAGGGTCATGCGGAGATTTTCATTGCGAAATCCCAGACATGGCATGAAACCCCGCGAAAAAGACAATTCAAGCATGGTAATCCTTGAAGCGTATCCAGGGGTAGGAAACCCAAACTCTCCGTTCCAACCAACCTCGGCATCCGAAGGCACGTTCAACCGATGGGTCAGGCAATGTACTGAAACATTCGAGAGAAC